ATATCAAAGCTGAATGTTTTTGGAAGTAGTTTTTAGTTTGTTTTTAGTTTTAGCTATTTTAGGGGGATATCTGTGTGTGCAGGTGACTATTACTGTGCATAATTATTAGGCAACTTAACAAAAAACATATATTCCCATTTCAGTTATTTATTTTTACCAGTGACACCAATATAACATCTCCACATTCACAAATATACATTTCTGACATTCAAAAACTATATAGCCACCTTTCTTTGCAAGGACACTCAAAAGCCTGCCATCCATGGGTTCTGTCAGTGTTTTGATCTGTTCACCATCAACATTGCGTGCAGCAGCAACCACAGCCTCCCAGACACTGTTCAGAGAGGTGTACTGTTTTCCCTCCTTGTAAATCTCACATTTGATGATGGACCACAGGTTCTCAATGGGGTTCAGATCAGGTGAACAAGGAGGCCATGTCATTAGTTTTTCTTCTTTTATACCCTTTCTTGCCAGCCACGCTGTGGAGTACTTGGACGCGTGTGATGGAGCATTGTCCTGCATGAAAATCATGTTTTTCTTGAAGGATGCAGACTTCTTCCTGTACCACTGCTTGAAGAAGGTGTCTTCCAGAAACTGGCAGTAGGACTGGGAGTTGAGCTTGACTCCATCCACCTCCACCTTGCTGGCATCTGAGTCGGACTGGAGCTCTCTGCCCTTTACCAATCCAGCCACGGGCCCATCAAGACTCACTCTCGTTTCATCAGTCCATAAAACCTTAGAAAAACCAGTCTTGAGATATTTCTTGGCCCAGTCTTGACGTTTCAGCTTGTGTGTCTTGTTCAGTGGTGGTCGTCTTTCAGCCTTTCTTACCTTGGCCATGTCTCTGAGTATTGCACACCTTGTGCTTTTGGGCACTCCAGTGATGTTGCAGCTCTGAAATATGGCCAAACTGGTGGCAAGTGGCATCTTGGCAGCTGCACGCTTGACTTTTCTCAGCTCATGGGCAGTTATTTTGCGCCTTGGTTTTTCCACACGCTTCTTGCGACCCTGTTGACTATTTTGAATGAAACGCTTGTTGTTCAATGATCACGCTTCAGAAGCTTTGCAATTTTGAGACTGCTGCATCCCTCTGCAAGATATCTCACTATTTTTGACTTTTCTGAGCCTGTCAAGTCCTTTTTTTGACCCATTTTGCCAAAGGAAAGGACGTTGCCTAATAATTATGCACACCTGATATAGGGTGTTGATGTCATTAGACCACACCCCTTCTCATTACAGAGATGCACATCACCTAATATGCTTAATTGGTAGTAGGCTTTCCAGCCTATACAGCTTGGAGTAAGACAACATGCATGGAGAGGATGATGTGGACAAAATACTCATTTGCCTAATAATTCTGCACTCCCTGTATATATAATAAAATTAGGAAAATTTAGAGACATGGACTCATGTGCTTTGCATACTCTTTCACTTTTCTCATACCTATGCTGATTTGTTTATTTAATGATGCAAATGTTTCAACAGATGTGTCATTGTTATTAAAGCTCACGCAGAGGTGACTTTGGTCTATAGCTTCTCATATTGTCAGACTGTACATGTTTCATTAAAAGCAGATTTTATTGTGGTGGGCATGTCAACTCAAAATAAAGCCCTTTCACCAAAATACCAATAAATAGTGTAGACAGCACTAAACATTTCATAAATACACAGTGCAGAATAACAGACCAGTGTCCTCACTTTATTTTGAGTATGTGCCAGCCACTGCAATTCCCGCAGAAGTGTGTTTGAAAGCTGGTACATTTTACAGGTACTGGGTTGGATCACCTTAGGTCTTCAAAACTGTCTTAATTCTTTGTGGCATTGATTCAACAAGGTGCTGAAAAATTCCGCAGAGGTTTTGTCAATATTAACATCACAGCATCACACAGCTGCTGCAGATTTGTCAGCTGTGGATCCATGATGCAAATCTGCAGTTCCACCACATTCGAAGGAGCTCCGATGGACTGAGATCTGGTGAATGTGGAGGCCATTTGAGTACAGTGAGCATACTGCAATATTCAAGAAACCAATTTGAGATTATCTGAGTTTTGTGAAAAGACACATTATCCTGCGCGAAACATCAAGATGGACATGGTCAGCAGCAACACTCAGGTAGGGGGCCCAAAGTGTGTCAGCCTGAACTATCTATTTAAGGCAGGATGGAGACATGTTTTCATGTTCTTTAAACCAAATTCTAATACACCAGAAATTGAGGCTCATCGGACAATATTTTTCCATTCTTCTTTTGTCTTGCTTTGGTGAGCCTCTGCAAAATGTAGCCTACCCTTCCTGTTCTTCGCTCACAGGAGCTCCACCCGATGTAGTCTTCTGCTGTTTTAGTCCAGCTGCTTGAAGGCACTGTGTGTTCAGAGATGCTCTTATGCATAATTTGATTATAAAGACTGGTAATTGAGGTACTACTACCTTTTTATCAGTTTGAAGCAGACTGAGCGTTACTCTTTAACGTCTGGCATTAGAGAGACATTTTTTCACAGAAAACTGCAGCTCACTACATATCTTCTCTGTTTTAGACCATTCTCTATGGACCCTGAATGGTTGTGTGGGGAAATCCCAGTAGATCACAGTTTCTGAAATACACAGATCAGCCTATCTGGCACCTTTCTTCTTAATTCTGATGCTCTCTTTGTATTTCAGCAGGTCGTTTCTACCATGTCTATATGTCTCAGTACTTGTTACTACCACGTGAACGGCTAATTAGACATTTGTGTTAATGAGCAGTTGAACAGGTGGTCAGTGAGTGTCTTCACAACAATGATGCTAATATTGACTGTTCAATCATCAAAAAAGAATAAAAATTTTATTATTAAATCAGTCCAGCTCTTGCTTACAAGAACCAACCAGCTTATTGCATGTGTCTTATAGAGCTAGAAAAAGTAGGGTATATATATCATCATTTATACATTTTGATAGGTTATTATTTGTGATATCACCTGCATCTTTTTGGCAAAGTCCCTCTATGACTGACCATCTAGTTTAATTTTAAGCTCTTACCTCACTGGGCTTCATACTTATCCTAGGTGCTGGTGGTTTATCATTGACCCTTGGCAGTGTTTGTGTTGTAGCTGTCTGTCTTGCAGCTGTTGTGTTCTGGTTTCACTGGTCATCAGTCGTTTTTGTCCAATGACTATGCATCACATAGCCACCTCCTTGGGTGTCTTTGGCACTGGGATGGCAGAATCATAATTATCTTCGATGCACCATAAAATCTGAAATTTAAATAGTGCACACGCTTCCAAAAGAAACTGCAACTATTAAAACAGTTGTTTGTTGTTAGATTTAGAAAATCAATAAGAAACTATATTTAATAACTATATTTTGTTTTTCATTCTTCTCAGGAGCAATATATTTCACTCTATGGGGACAAGCAAGAAATATCCAAAATTTTAAAAAAAAGTAAAAAAAAATCAGAACTTGGAACTGAAATATAAGGCCTAGAATATTTTTATCTGTCCTCATCAGATCCTGTATATACCATGGGTAGATATCTCTTGGGGTAACTGGAAAAGTGAGCTCACTCAAGTTGTTGTTTTGTTTTAGTTGCAGTGATGTTGGCAATGAGGACCAAGCAGCAAGCATCCAGTTCATAAGAGAATGGAGGGTCACCACCACTTTCGAGAGAGGCACACTGAGCGAGAGAGGAGATATTCAGCTGCTGCTGTCCATCTCGTCCTCGGGTAGCACCCTGCTCCTGGTGCAGTGAGTGAGAGTAATGATATAAAATACCAGAGCGATAGAGGCACATCATCTGAACAGAAAATGCAGGGTACTTCTTGGTCTTCTATACATTTACAGTGAATTGCTGTGTTAATTATAGCTACCACTGGACCTCAGCTGTATGGTTGAGGTCCAGAAATAGTTCTTGATTTATTTATAATAGCAAAATGCTTTTTTCTTTTTTGTTGCATGTGGCTCACACGACACCTGAGTGTTCTGCTGTACCGGCCTGGAAATTCACTGTTAAAAAAAGTACCAGCTGCTTCACCTTTGAGGTGCTAAACTATATTACTCTGTTTTATAGAATGAAAAAGGAGGACATCTAGAGCTGCCCCTGTGATGGCAGAAATATTGATTTCTTCTCTTGGTGTTTTTAACTTAATAGAAAGCAGTGGGCAGCTGGTGAATTGGCCATTACAGCTTACAGTTTAAGTATTAATTCAAACTTCCAAACAAGGTTTAAAATGTATTTTCAGCAATAGGAATTGCAATATTTTGCACTTTTATGGTTGTTCATGTTTTGAAAATGTCTTCATTTGATGTGCACAAAAACATGTGACAGTGAGGAATACAATGAATTTAAAAATCCTAAAACTGTTTTCATGGCAGTAAAACAGGAAAGATGTATTTTAAAGGATTGCAATGCAAAAAAATCATTTAAAAATATATTATTTAGATGTTCTCAGTCATAATTTCAATACATTAATCAAATCTTTCTTAGACATTTTAATTTCTAAGAGGCTTATTTCTGATTCAAGGGGCATTGGTGGTGTAGTAGCAACACCTTCGAGTAGCTATTCATTTTTAATTTGTACTTTTTGGAGGCATATGCTCATTTCTTGGTTTGTATCCTCAGCTTGATGTTGACTTGGTTCTTAACAGGATGTAGTCAGCTCAGGATCAGCTGATGGATGACCTCAACAGATCTGACACTGAGAACCATGCTCTGCTTTAAGCTAGCCTTCTCCTCGCCGGCTCACGCCTTGGTCATACATACTTCCATATCTTTTACAGAAAATTGCTGCTTGTCAACATTACGTCTGTCACAAAGCCATTTGCACTGGGTAGCACTGTCACAGTCTGGCTTTACTTTTGTGTTCCTGAGACCCCACTGCCAGTGCCCACTGCCTTCCTCATAACTGTACCGCTGATGCATTACCCTCAACAGGTGCTCTTTTCTGAAAGGATCAGATAGGTATATTTAGATTTTGAAACTCGAGAGCAGTTCTCTGTGATTGGCTGTGTCAGCCACATGATAACCTGGGTAGAAACCGCAGCTGTGTGCTGTCGCCCAGCGTTTCTCTGGAGGGAAGCTGGGGAGGCTTTGGTGGCTTGGGAGACCAATAAACTTTAACATAACCGGTAAGCAAAGGAAAGGATACAAAAAACAACAAATATCCATGTTGTCTGCACCCTGCATGGCTTTCCATCTGCTTGGAGATCCATATTTTCCATCCTTGGCTGCCATCTGGATCCAAGAATACCCTGCTGAGGAATAAGGAGTGTGAACAATCTTTTACACATTGAAGGAGTAACCAAACAATCCAGAACTACAAGACTCTCCAAGTCACTTGAGACAAGGCCATCTTTTGGATGTATCTGAAATTTCAGCAGGAGTCGGAATCTTTTTGTTTTCTTTCCATAGTCTCTGAAGCTTTCTGGCTTTTTCATCCTTCTACCTCTATGATTCTGGCGATTTCTTTAGTTCTTTTGCAGAGAAAATATAGATATATTAATACAAAGGGAGAGCATCCATGTACTAAAAAAGGTAGTTAGTATGCAATCCTATATTTAACCTGCAGCCTCAGAAGGTATTGCATCTCCATTTGCTAAACAGAGTCAGCCAATCAGGCTGTGGCATTAGCTTACATGTCAAATAGCTGGAGCGCTGTTGGACAGCTGTCGCCAACCTTCAGCCAGGAGGCACAGTCCTTTGAACTGTGTTGTAGCACATAAGGGAGGAAGGGTGGCAGTCACATATTCAAAAATCAGATGCCTATTAAAATTAGTCAGTGTCTCACCTATTACAGTAAACTCTGCAGATCTCCCTGTTTAATTATTCATTGAATAAGTTGTAAAGTGTTTTACACATTGTGTTATTGTTTTGTTTAGGAATTGGGCAAATCACAGAGTTGGACTGTCAGTTTGAGGCCCTGTTGGATGGAAAGTGAAGCTTCCTTACTGTCAGAGATTACTGCGAGACACCTTTGCTGGTATGGCAAGGACATTGTTTAAACGCCAATATGCTGCTGTTATAGTTTATATATATGTTTACATAAATATTACATATACAAAAAGAGGAGGGTTGAAATATCCCTGGTGTAGCCGTCCTATCTTCTCTAAGTCCCATTATATCCCATTTAAAATTTTTGATTTTATTTTGAAAGAACACGTAGAACATTTATGTTTCACTACACTGTGGTGTTTTTTTTAAAATTTATATATATATATGTATATATATATATTACTCCCTCAGAGTAACGCATACCTGAAAATGTGATCTGTGTTTTGTGTAGAATCTCTCAAATCGTCTCAAAATGACAGAAATTGTAGAGGAATATGAAGAATATGAAGAATATGAGGAGGAGGAGGAGGAGGTTGTGGAAAGGGTAAGTGGATCCCTTTTTAATTGCACATGTAACTAAATCCTAAAGTACTCTTGTTGCATTTTTTATATTTTGGCTTTTGATCTGGATAATAGAACTTCAGCTGTGATATCATTTAATACATTTAAGTGTGGGATCTCCAAGTCCAGTGGAAGGCCCTATGAATAGTTTGGTTAGTGACGATACCTCTTACAGTCAGCAGTTCATGGAGGGAGACATACATGACTGCTGGTATATCCTGTTTCAGATGGACTCCTTCTGATGGCCTGGATTGCCCTTAACAGTCAATTATGGAAAAATAGTTCTATTAATTATATAATGTTGCATTTTATTTGTGTCCTTTTGGCATTGCAAATACCTTTACTTGAGCCTTTGACATATGCCAGACAGCAACACATGTAAAGCAGATGTAATCGTACAAGTCTGACATGTAAAGTGACTTTTTTCCATAGATCCCAGCATTTGATTTCACTACACTGCTTGAGGAGGAATATATATTGCAATGATCTATTTGCACCTAAATCCCCATAGCGTCCCTCCTGTGTATGATAGACACGCAAAGATTGGATTACATGCAGTTTGGGGGTGTGCCAGTTTCTGGAAGTTACTATTTTCCCATGTGAAATATTTCTCCAGATTGAGTGCTCACATCCCCCATGATTTCATCACAGTTTTGCTGCTTTTAGAGTCCCTTTTGTCCCTTTACATTCTCTGTGACAGTGTCTGATGGAAGAGTGAAAGCAGAAGGCTAACATTTAATCCCATATTTCCTGGTGAACTAGGATTAAAGTTAGCCTGGTATTTGTTCAAACTTAATATTGCTGATATCTTATAGGGGAGTCTGAATGACTGCTCTTGGTTGTCAGAATATCCAAACCAAGCAAACATTTTTTTAAAAATCATTTAACTCCCATATAACATATCAACTGTTTCAAACAGATTTACTACCTTTTGTGAAGAGATGTAAATCGTTTGGGAGGTAGGAAAGATAATTACGCTCAAAATCAATACACTCTGATTTCACTAGAACTTTCATCTGTACTGCGGAGAAAAGATGCATTGTTTTCAATAAAATGTAAGATGGCTTCGTATTTAATTTACAGAATGGGGAGAAACATAGTGCTGTCCAGGTCAGACATAAAACATATGATTAGTTTAATACATAATACATAAACATTGAAAAACTCATTATTTAAGTTATTTCTTTTCAAATTTCTTACTTGTTTCTATATCATAATAATAATAAACGCTAAAAAGGAAAAAAAAAATGACTTCAATTCTCAGGTCATTAAGGAGCAAAGTGTACAGTTCTCTATCTGGCATTCAGGCAAATTTAGAAATGGACTTCTGGAGCACGTTGGCAGAGAGTGGAGGAAGGAGGAAAGGGAGGGGAGAAAATTAGACGGGCCACTGTGCTGTAAATCAGCCCCTGATAGGCTGGAACAGGTTAATATCACAGTGCTAGAAATTCGCTTATGGGAGGTGGATGCGTGGAAGAATGTGGCCTGCAGACAAGGAGTGTTTTTGCATTGAACTGTAGGGATGCTTAGTTACAGTGGTTCATCTACACCTATGGTTCTCTCCTGTCTGAGAGATTCATATACTGAAGCCGCTTACGAATGTTGATAAAAACGATTGAGATGTTCTTTCTCAGCTCTGGCTTTTCTTTCATTTAACCTAAATTTTAAGGTCTCTTGTCTCTTAATGTTCAACCTTATGTTATGTAAACGCTCTTCATCCTAAGAAGAAGGAAGTTAGAAATTAGAAGTGCTATTCCTGGATGGGGATGTATGTGAGAGGCTGTCAGTGACTAAGTCATCACTAGAAATTACATTTAAAAATTCACATTTGCATTTTTACAAAAAGTTAAAAGAAAACCCTCTAAATTCTAAATTAACTGAGGTGAGTGGGACTTTTCTTTTATTTAGTGTATTTATATGTAAGCCTCAGAAACTAAATACAGCACCCCCGCATTATATTAAGTTGAAGGTAGAACGCTCTTTGGTGAGATATTTCAAAATCCGAGCTAACAGAATAAAAACATCCTGTATAAATTGATTTTGTTAGAGCTAAATTGTGGGGCTTTTTTCTTGTTTTTTTCTTGTTTTGTTGTTTGGCTGAATCAGTGCTTTAAACCCATAAGACCTATGTGTGAACAGCCGTGGAGATTACAAAGCTGTCCAAACAGCTTGTGTACTGTTGTATCCTGTAGCAACTGATAACAAAAGCATTTGTATATGAAATAACAAATAAGAATAGAACAGTTGTCATGTGAGTATGCAGTGTTTTTAGACTTGGTCAGACGATCAAAGATTCAGGCTGTTCGGGCTCACATAGAATATTAATGCTTCTTTATCCTCTGTTTAAAATAAGCTTAATTAGACAGCAGCCATACTATTTTCACCTTTGGAAATTTTGCCCCTCCTTTAGGTGACTCTATTTGAGTGGACCGGTGATAAGTAGGTTACACCAAAAATCCCCGATGACAACCTTCTCTGTTTCTACTTATTAGCCTGCCTGGGGGCATTTGCTAGAACAGCTGCTAACACGATACAGTGTAGAGTGATTTCTTACTCGTAGTGCTGAAAGTGGCAGTGGCAGTAATTGGTGAATGCCAGAGCTGTGGAAAAATCACCCTCAATCCAAACAAATATTTTGCTGTTTCTCCCATAATCTGTCCTGGAAATTTTGAAAAACCAGAGTGTTTCCTATATTTGTAATATGTTGAGCAGATTTCAACGACGACTGTCACTGAGCACAAGACTCAGTTCTTACAGGTAAAACACCTCCTCCCAGGCACAACGGTTCAAGCAGGGCAGGAGACCCTTGTCTCCCATGGCTTATGGTGCATCCCCCTTCTTTCCTGCATGTGTATATAGAGTATAGATAATGTGCTGTCTTGTTTGGCTTTGGCAGGTTTTTAGAGCTAAATAATAAGTTAAATATGTTAAGATTCAGCATTTTTACTAAGACAACACATGGCTTTTGTAATTTGGTTTCCTGCAGCTTTGCTGGCCAACAAATATAATATGGTAGTGTAACCTTTGTGGATATGTGCTGCTCAATGTTGTGTTGCATGCAAGTCATTTAAAATGTAGGTGTAAGTGCTTGCCTTGGGTTTGTCTTTCATTCATTTACATTTCAGCAGGCGTAACCTTAGTATACAAAATCTCCATTGTCCAAATAGAATAAATCATTGATGATTAAATAATTTCACTAACTCGAGGTGAGTAATTAGAGCAGTGGGAATCCTGCTTCATATTGAAAATATCAGATCATTGTCCAGTCGACACATTTGCATTGAAGTGTAATTAAATATCTAGAAGTTTGCTTTTTGAAAGTATCACCAGTCCTTTTGCTTTCCCTGTCGTTTTCCTTCCTGGCAATTCCCCCTACCGTAATCAATAAAACGAGATCCATGTGTTAGTTTGGTCTTTAATTGTATTCTTCTGTCCTCTCCCAGTCTGGCTTGCCCACCAGGAAAGTAAGGAAGAAGGTCAAGGTGGATACTTCCAAGTTCATGACTCCATACCTGGCCCATAGCCAGAAGATGCTGGAGCAGTTCAGCCACGTAAGAAACAAGTTTGAGTTTTTATTTGCATGTATATATACACATTTATTTGACTTTTTACTTGCTTTTACTTGTTGGTTGTTTTCCTGCTTTGTATGACATTAATTACTTACTTAAATTTTATGACCGTTGTCCCTGACAGAATAAGTATCGCCAGGCTTATGAAATGTCCAAAGGGACACCTCCTGCCATCGTTACTGATACGCCTGAAATGATTCGTATCAGGAAGGCCCAGGAGCAGCTTAGCGAGGTACTCTTTAAGATATGATGAATACACTATAAAACATAAAAATATGCCTCTGGTCTCAAATATGATTGGATCTTGCTTTACTGAGGAATAATTTGAAATAACACGCATTATCTTCAGGTTAAATACCGTATGGAGGGAAACAAAGCTCGGACAACCAGCTTGTACGACGGTGAAGCAAGAGAGATTGCCCACGTCAAGCATGTATCTGAGCTGATCAGCAAGGTAAGTTACCCAAATCTCCCAACATACAAAGAGAATGAATAAATATGACGTTAATGCTGATTGTATAACACAAATGCTGTTGTTATCTCTTATAGGTTCTGTACAGACAGAAGTGGGATGAGACCAAGGACAGGTACCTGCTGCCTCCTGATGCTCCTGAGCTGGTTCAGGCTGTGAAGAATGCTGCTAACTACAGCAAAGTAAGTCCAGTGTAGCATTCAAGGGCTGACTTTTAAGTCCAAAGTTTTAAAAAAAATTCCAAATTACATAATTGCATAATTTAACAATTCTATAATATCTGTTAAAATGTTTTATATTCACGTAGTAAGTGATAACGTTACACCTTGTTCAGAAACTTTATACCGAGGCCTGGGATGAAGATAAGACCATGTACTACCCCTACAGTGACAGTCCTGAGCTCCGTAGGGTGGCCAAGGCTCAAGAGGTCCTTAGTGATGTAAGTAAAATTTATTATCTATATCTGTCGTGTTATTCAGACTTTCAATGTGTGTTTGTGGTTATTATATCTGCAAAAAACAAAAACAAAAAAAACACTGTATTGAGCCAGCCTCTGCTTTAATGTGTCTGTTTTGATATGTCTTATAATATGATATATACTATATTATAAGTTGTTAATTCTTCAAATCTATACATTTTAACTATCTCTGCATCATTAAATTGCTTTTTGAAAGAACAAAAACATTTTATACAGACAAATAAAATTACGCAAATTATAACATAGAATTACACCACCTAGAGCTTTCTATTTTAGACAGTTACTAGTGTTATTTCTTGTAGTGTTACAAGACAATTGACAATTACCACACTGTTAATTACAAAACACGTATGGTGTGTGTAAAGATGTTGAAATGTTCCTCTCAGTGTCCACTTGTTTGTGCTGACTCGGATGTGTCATACATCACAGTTTAACTTACATTTAGGACAATTTACAATTAGAGCCCAACTGATATGAGATATACAGAAGAGGACTAGGGTCACTGGGGGAAAAAAGTGGGCATATCATTTTTTTTTTTTTTTCCAGAATTCTGAGGAAAATGTCAGAATTCTGAGATTAACCTCAGAATTCTGACTTTTTTTCTCAGAATTCTGACTTTTTTTCTCAGAATTCTGAATATTTTCTTGGAATTCTAACTTTTTTCTCAGAATTTTTTTTTCTTAGAATTCTGACTTTTTTCTTAGAATTCTGACTTTTTTCTTAGAATTCTGACTTTTTTCTTAGAATTCTGAGATTAGTCAGAATTCTGATTTTTTTTCGCAGAATTCTGATTTTTTTTCGCAGAATTCTGAGATTAAAGTCAGAATTCTGAGATTAGTCAGAATTCTGACTTTTTTCACAGAATCATTTTTTCTTAGAATTCTGACTTTTTTCTTAGAATTCTGAGATTAGTCAGAATTCTGTTTTTCCCCCTCAGAATTCTGACTTTTTTTCTCAGAATCTTGACTTTTTTTCTTAGAATTCTGACTTTTTTTCTTAGAATTCTGAGATTAGTCAGAATTCTGTTTTTTTCCCCTCAGAATTCTGACTTTTTTCTCAGAATTTTGACTTTTTTTCTCAAAATTCTGACTTTTTTTCTTAGAATTCTGACTTTTTTCACAGAATTCTGAGATTAAAGTCAGCATTCTCACTTTTCTTCTTAGAATTCTGACTTTTTTCACAGAATTCTGACTTTTCTCTTAGAATTCTGACTTTAATCTCAGAATTCTGAGTTTTTTCTCAGAATTCCAACTTTAATCTCAGAATTCTAGAAAAGAAGAAAAAAAGACATGCCCGCTCCCCCCCCCTCCCCCCCCCGGTTGCCCTAATCCTCTTCCGTACTAATCCTCTTCCGTACAGATAGGATCACAAAGTATCGATCTGATACTTTTTGACCTTATCCTCTATCAGTGACGATGATACTTGGTGATGACCAAGATTTAAGAATCGGCCAGTATTTTTTTCTTTCAGACACAGGAAAAATTTTTCTCCAACATTCGTTGTGTGTTGTTACATATGAGTTGTTATTAAGATAATATGTGACTGCAGTTTAAAGATAATAATATTTTAGTGCCATGACAAGTCGCGTAACAAAACCTTACGCTCTGCTCAGATCAGCTGGTTGGTGTGATTGTGCTGTTCCAAACACGTTGCTAACAAGGAAGTTGCAGAGCGCCCTCTGGTGATAAGATAGAAAAGACTCAAAACTCGTAATATCGTTGGAGGGTGTTTCCTCCATCTCTTAATGTTTTAATTTGATTATATCGGTAAATACCTAATATTGAAAATTATATATCGTGAGTGTTGGGGAGTAACGGAATACATGTACCGCCGTTACGTATTTAAAATACAAAATATGAGTAACTGTATTCCGTTACAGTTACCGTTTAAAAGGGTGGTATTCAGAATACAGTTACTTTGTTGAAATAAATGGATTACACTGCGGTACTTTGCCTGACGAGCCCAGTTGTAAGTAAGCTATTAAGACTCGACTGTACACTGTGTTCGTGTTTTCCTCCGAAAACAATAAGTTCCGTTGGAGCAGCCTTTCAACGCCTCTCTCTGTCTCTGGCTAGCAAAGTTGACCCAGACAACAAAGTAAAGCTATTTTTCGGCTACGAGCCGACAGGGACCCCGCCGTATTAGTCAGAGGTCCCTTTACTACAGTTCGGAGTCGCGGACCTTCAGTAATAGTAATAAATCACACAGCAATAGTACATTCACGTTGTTGTAAAAAGCATGATAATATATTAAGTAATCCAAAGTATTCAGAATACGTTACTGTCATTGAGTAACGTAACGGAATACGTTACAGAATACATTTTGGGGCATGTATTCTGTATTCTGTAATGGAATACATTTTAAAAGTAACCTTCCCAACACTGTATATCGTGCATGGTGCTATATCAGGTCAAGCTCTTATTACAGCTGTTATCTGTACGTCTCCTTCCTCTTGGGTTCTGTGTTGTTAAACTTTTTTCCCGATGCATGGAAATTACCAGTCTATTTAGGTAGAGGCAAACTGTGCATGAAAGTCAGGTATTGATGTTGACGAATTGAGCGTCTTAGTAAATGTTAACTCCTGTTGTGATTGACAGGTTCACTATAAGAAGGGCCACCATGAGCGCAAGGCTAAGTATACTTCCTTGCCTGATCCTCCTGAATTGGAGCTGGCCAAGAGAGTGTCCCAACAGCGCAGTGATGTAAGTAACAATTTTAAATCAAACAAAAACCAATATCACTGAGGTAGATATACTGATGAATTTTTCTTGTCATTAAGCTATAAATATACATAGATCAGATATTTAAGTCCACAAACTCTTACTGAAAGCAATGTTCAGTGCTTTCAGTTAATAAGAGTAGAGGAGTATGCACTACAGACAGTGAGCAGTGATTGGGGCAGTGCAGTTTTAGTTTAGATCAAAATCCAAAATACCATAAATTCAATATGAGACCAGTACACAATTATTTAATCCATTGTATAGTCTATCCATCTATCTGTATAGTGCATCTGTTTTCGCTAGACTCATCAACTTTTCTAGGATTAACAGTGTTCATCCCCTAACTAGACATGGGAGTAATAAATATCTTTGCTTATTTTAGAGTCAGAAAACTGGGCCTTGCACAGTGTAAGCACTGAAGCAGGAGCCCCAGACACCAACCAACCCTGAGAAAGGGATCAGTCCACCTGCTCTCTGATATTAGTAGCAACACTAAGCTGGGTGGGAGAGGCTAACAATGACAGGAATTCCAATCATTCCTAATATGTTTATATAAACATATGAGATTTATTCATTTGTCCTTTAATAAAAAAAAAAACCTTCTTATGTTAATTGCCATCTTTTCCTCACAGCTTAAGTACAAGGAAGATTACAATAAAAATGTGAAGGGTCAGTGGTGTGAGACTCCTTACTTCGACGTGGCGACTGCCAGGGTGGCAATGGAGAACCTCAGCGACGTAAGAATTCACTATTTAAAGGAAAGGATTTCAGATTTCTGCTTTTCTTTGTCCTTTTTCTGTACATAACTGTTGTGTGTTTTCCTTTCAGAGAAGATACACGCAACATTATGAGGATACAAAAGACCAAATTTATTTCATGCAAACAGAAACACCCACTTATGATGCAAACAAGAAGGCTCGTATTGCTGCTAGTGAGGTAAGCGCGAAAACACGCACAAACACAAAGGTAACACAGTATTTTTATAGGCCCGATCTCATGCGGAAGACACGACAGAGAGTTGACCCATGTCTCAGAGCAGTGTGTGAGTCAAGAGACTCAGTCCACTCTGACGCAGGGATACACTGTATTGTGCCCACACTGCATGACTGAGAGATCCACATTTGGTTTACTGTCACCATGCACATTACTTTACTAGCACGCAGGAATAAAATGCGAGTCTGTGTGACAAAGCTTTTCAGTTGCTCTGCACCTCATAGCCACCCACACGTTCACACACAGGGGATACATGCATCGTTTTCAAGAAATGCGAAAGACACACTTCTTAGCTGGCCAACCAACTGTGCCATCATTTTGAACCATGTGAACACACCTCATTATCACACTTTCCTCTCTTTTTTTACTCACAGTGATCTGTTTCTGTCTTTAGGTCCAATACAAGAAGGAGTATGAGAAGAAAAAAGCACAGTCTGACTACAACACGCTCCCCGCCACAGAGAATCCTCTATTGAGGCAGCTCAGATATGCTGGCACTATCCTCAGTGATGTAGGTGTTTAAAAAGCCCTGTGCAGAAAGTTTATTTTTCTTCTGTGACAAAAGATAGGCCTTTTGCCTTTTCAGGAAAACTAAATTATAAAATCTTAGGCGGTTGTTTAATTATTGCTTAAATTACCGGGCCAATTGCCCTGTTATTGTTGGGATAGAGTCCAGCCCCTCCCCACGACCCTGAATTGGATAAGTGGAAGTGAAATACATAGTGTTTGCTTGTTGTTTGCAATTACTCTCCTGTAGTTTTTCCTGTACCACAAGTATGTATGTAGCTGCTCATATATTTTTTTTATCGTTGTTTGACTTTGTTTTGTTTTTGCCATTTCCTTTCCAGAAAGTATATAAGGCTAGCTATGAGAAATCCAGGGGTTTCAGCATCAACTACTGTGACACGCCCAAGTTTCAGATGGACTCAGTACTTAAGCAGTTCTCTGATGTAAGAGAGCTCGTTGAGTTAAAATTTCTTTGAATATGAACCACTTATGTTTCTCTTTTAACACACGTTTTGATTTTCTTTTAGGCACATTACAAAAATAAGTATGAAAATGAGGTGAAGGGCCACTACATTGGAAGCTATGAGGACCTTTATATGCTTCACTGCCAGAAAGTCGAGGAAATGAAAAATGAGGTTTGTGCATTAAAAAATTTGAGCATGTATTAATATATTCCTCATCAAGCCTTTCCTCATAACACAATATTTACTTTTTGTATTTCACAGCAACTATATAAATCTGATTATGAAGACATTAAAACTAGATGCTTCTTTCCTCAAACAATTACGCCTGAATACGAAGCTGGGAAGAAACTTCATCAATGCAACGATGTGAGTAGTCGCTGATTATAAAACTGTTCTTTGCAATAAAATGGATCCAGGTTCTTTTTGGATTTCTTATATGTATATGGACAATTATTATTTTTGTTTTGATCCTTTGGTTTTCAGAAAGTTTACCGGCAACATCCAGACACAGTGAAATTTACACAAGTGGTGGATTCACCAGTTCAAGTTCAAGCCGCCATCAACGCCAAACAGCTAAGTGACGTATGTACCTTTTTTGGACCACTTCCTCTTGGTGCTAATGTAGGAAAGTCTAGAATTTAAACTGGTACAGTAAAGCTAACAAACACGCACTGAACATTTAGGTGATACCTGCATATAATAGTAACATTAATGTGACTATTTTGTTTTCTCGGTGTCCATTTATGGCCTGGAATTCTTGCAATCACCAGCTTGTGTCAATCCAATTCTCCTAGATATGCAGATCACCTTTAAATTTGCTCAATCATCTATGAAGCCCAGCTGTCTTTCTATGGGCGCCATGGAAACTGGAGAGCCATTTCTCTGTAGTATAAATAGAAACAAGCATTCAGTTGGCCCAGAATAAACCCTGTGATCAGACAGGGGTTGGGGAGGTGGAGAAAGCAACTGTCACCATCTCTGAGCCCTGATAGCACACTACTGCCCTCCAGTGACAGAAAGTCAAATAACAGCTTATCAGAAAATATACCCTGAGCAGTACTGACACAATAATATTACCATTTTGTTCTTCTGCAGTTAAACTACAAGGCAAAGTACGAGGAAATAAAAATGAAGAACAGTCTACCCCCAGACTACCCCTTCTTCATTCAGTCCAGAGTTAACGCTTTTAACCTCAGTGATGTAAGTAACTGCGATATTTGCATATCTCTAAAATTTAACTCGTATCAGCTTTGATTTCTCATACTGTCGATTTCAATTTCCTGAATGGCACACTTTCTTCTTGCAGAACTGCTATAAGTATGATTGGGAGAAAACCAAAGCGAAAAAGTTTGAGATCAAAGGGGATACCATCTCAATCCTTGCTGCCCGTGCTCACACAAACGCCATCAGTGATGTAAGTATCCTACTTCAACAACTGCTTCAACAGATAAATTACCTGCAGTACCTGTTATGTATTCTAATCCATGATAAATTCTGTTCATTACTAGGTTAAATATAAAAAGGAGTATGAGAAGAACAAGGGAAAGATGGTTGGAGCCCTCAGTATTAACGACGATCCGAAGATGCTGCACTCTGTCCATGTGGCCAAAATCCAGAGTGATGTAAGTTATTAGTTGATGTCATATTTTTAATAAATATTAATTTATGGGGGTTAAAAAGAAGGGCAACTGAGTAATCTCTTGTTTATATCTTCACAGCGTGAATACAAAAAAGACTATGAAAAAGTAAAGACCAAGTATCATACACCACTGGATATGTTGTCAGTCACCTTGGCTAAGAAATCCCAGGCAATTTCCAGCATGGCTGGTTACAGGAGCATCAGCACCAACTATTTCCTTCCACCTGACAGCGTCCTGCTGGATCTGGCCAAGAAAGCCAACGTTATCCAGAGTGATGTAAGTCCAAACAGACTTTAGAGACTCCAACTGCTCTGCTGTTCTGCTTTTTTCATCATAATATGAAAACATGTCCTGATGTGCTATTGTGGGCTTAAATATTCATCAACATTTGTTTTGGTTTTGTGTGTTTCTCTGCACCAAAGAATGAGTATAAGGCTGACTACAACAGCTACACCAAAGGTACTCCATGGGTCCCATATGGCTCATTGGAAGTGGAAAAGGCTAAGAAAGCTGCAGAGATCCTCAATGAGGTATGTGTGCAACATGGCTTCTTTACATCTGCTCTCATGGTAATAACAAAATGCATATTTCAGAGCTGATAGGTCATTAAAATAATAATATTTATTTACTCTTTTCCTTCAGAAAAAATACAGAACACACCCAGACAAGATCCCATTCACATCTATCGACGACCACCCCATCATGATGCAGGCCAAAGTCAACCAGCTTCAGAGGAGCGATGTGAGTCAAGTGTCACTGTTCATACTGGAGAACGAATTCCTTCTGCATTTTTCCAAGATCCCTTTTAGGAAGATTCTTGTTTGCTCTTACTTTCTTTTAATTTCTGCTCTGTTACATTTATTCTTTTATAGCTGTTCTACAAGCGAGGTCTAGAGGAGATCCATCAGAAGTACTCTCTGCCCCCGGATGTCCCAGAGTTCCTTCAGGCCAAGTGCAATGCCTACAACATCAGCAAGGTGACGAATGCACATAAAAAAAGCAAAATAAATAAAATATTTTTTCAACTCACTTTTAAAACTTATATAACTGTATATCGCCACAGTATGTGTGTGCATCTGTTCATGTTTGCGTAAAGCTATAATGGATACATGCCTTAAACATTGTTTATATGTTTTATGTGATTTCAGAATTACTACAAGTTTGCTTGGCAGGAGCTGATTGCTAAGGGTTATGACCTGAAGCCTGATGCCATCCCTATTGTTGCTGCCAAAGCTGCCAGACATGCTGCCAGTGATGTAAGTTTTCTGAAAGACCAAATTTGCTGCACTTTTTAAATAATTGTTACATATAAAAAACTAGAGAAGCTCCATGTGCTTTAACTCCTAGGTCCAGTACAAAAAGGCTTATGAGAAGGCGAGAGGCCACCATGTCGGCTTCCGCAGCCTCCAGGACGATCCTCTGCTGGTTCACTACATGGAGGTGGCCAGAATGCAGAGTGACAAGAACTACAAGAAGGACTACCACAAGGCCAAGCTGAAGTATCACACCCCAGTGGACATGCTCAGTGTGGTTCAGGCTAAACATGCTTCAGCAGTGCAGACCTACATTGGCTACAAGCAGCACCACCATAAATACTTTCTTCTCCCTGATGCTATGGGTCTGCAACTTGCTCGCACCATGAACTACAATTCCAGCGATGTATGTTATTAACAATGCTTGTGACTTAATGGCAATATAAACCGTATGGACTCTCTAAAAATGGTATTTGGTCTGACAATAGTTTCTTGTTTTCTGGGTTTTTTTCTATTTCTCAGCACAACTACAAGATGGATTATGAGACCTCGGTCAAGGGTATTGGCTGGGTTCCAATTGGTTCTCTGGAGGTTGAAAAAGCCAAAACGGCAGCAGCAGCTCTGAATGAGAAAAAGTACAGACAGCACCCTCAAACCATCAAGTTCACCAGTGCTACTGACTCCATGAGCATGGAGCTGGCTAAGACCAATGCTAAGATCATGAATGTGGTGAGAAGGACAAAACAAAATAATGACTTATGCTACATATCTAAAATTTAGTCCTTTTCAGAGAAGAAATAAATTCTTGCCTTCACTGTAATTACACAGAAAGAGTACAAAGCCAGCGGAGAGAAGTTCATGCACACTTACAATCTCCCTCCTGATGCCCCCCAATTTCTGCAAGCCAGATACAATGCTGCCAACATCAGCCAGGTTAGCTGCAGATTGATTTAAGCACATATGAAACATACAAAGAAATTTAATTGTGAATGTTTTTGTAACAATATCACTGATTATCTTTTTGTTTAGAATTATTACACTTATTCTCACCGCCAAGATCTGCTCAAAGGACATCACATGAAAGAGGATTCCATTCCCATCGTAGCAGCCAAAACTTCAAGAAACATTGCCAGCAATGTAAGCTGGAATTATGCTTTTCATAATAATTTTTAAATGTTAATGCATTTAATAATATTACTTATATTGCATTTTATTTAATACAGTACAAGTATAAGCTGGCCTATGAGAAAGAAAAGGGCCACCACGTTGGCTTCCGCAGCCTCCAGGATGATCCTCTGCTGGTTCACTATATGCAAGTGGCAAAGATGCAGAGTGACAAGAACTACAAGAAGGACTACCACAAGGCCAAGCTGAAGTATCACACCCCAGTGGATATGCTCAGTGTGGCTCATGCCAAGCAGGCTTCTGCTGTTCAGACAATGGCTGGATACAAGAAGATCCCCCACAGCTTCTTGCTTCTTCCTGACAACATGCACCTGCGGCTGTGTCGCAACATGATGGAGATTCAGAGTGACGTGTGTATTCTTTTCATCTTATCTTTATATATTGGTCTCATCCTGGAACAACATATATAGCATTACATATATGTATATATTTGATTATGACCTTTGATTAATTTAGATTTTCTCTAAATACCCACAGAATGTCTACAAGTCAGATTACAACAGCTACTCTAAAGGTATAGGATGGGTCCCTATTGGTTCTCTGGATGTTGAAAAAGCCAAAACCGCTAAAGCTGCACTGGATGAAAGAAATTACCGCCAGCACCCCAGTAATTTCAAATATACAAGCAAGACCGATGCCATGAACATGACTCTGGCTATGGCCAACACTAAACAGATGGACATCGTAAGAATCCCTTTTCTTAACAGAAGATACTTATGTAGAGATTCTTTAAACATTCACTGTTGTTTCTTTTCTCTGACTAGACTACATACAAAGCTTCTGGAGAGAAGTTCATGCACACCTACCATCTGCCATCTGACTGCCCCGAGTTTCTCCAGGCTAAGTTTAATGCCCAGACTATTAGCGAGGTTAGAGCACAAATTATTTAACTGAATATGCAAGTTGAAGCAATAGCAATTTCCTGAGGTTCAAGGTGTATATGAGCATAGTTGTGCAAAAAGTTGTTGTAACACTTTGCTGTTTATTTGCAGAGTCATTACAGGCACAAGTGGGTGGAAGACATTGCCAAGGGATATGACATGAAGCCTGATGCTATTCCCATCCTGCATGCCAAGCACGGCAGGCATATTGCCAGCAATGTATGTAATAAATGCATGTAATAAATTTAACTAAATTTAACTGTAAAAAAGAAAGAATCAACACATCACTTTTTCTTTTTTTTTTCTTTAGGTCCAGTACAAAAAGGCTTATGAGAAGGCGAGAGGCCACCATGTTGGCTTCCGCAGCCTCCAGGACGATCCTCTGCTGGTTCACTACATGGAGGTGGCCAGAATGCAGAGTGACAAGAACTACAAGAAGGACTACCACAAGGCCAAGCTGAAGTATCATACCCCAGTGGACATGCTCAGTGTGGCTCATGCCAAGCAGGCTTCTGCTGTTCAGACAATGGCTGGATACAAGAAGATCCCTCACAGCTACTTGCTTCTCCCTGACAACATGCACCTGCGGCTGTGTCGAACCATGAACCTCCAGTCAAGTGATGTAAGTAGCAAAGATAGTCATATGTATGCCATTTTAAAAAAATAATAAAAACCAGATTTGAACTACAAAAGATCATTTATCTTTACTTTGGAACTAATTTGCGTCATGACTTTTTTTTCCAGAATGATTACAAATCTGACTGGAATAACTTTGTCAAAGGCATTGGATGGGTCCCTATTGGCTCGCTTGCTGTTGAAACTGCCAAGGTTGGCGGTCAGATTCAGAGTGAAAATAAGTACCGCACTCATCCATCAAATTTCAAGTTTAGCAAACTGATGGACTCCATGGACTTGGCTTTGGCTAGTGCCAACAACCAGATCATGAACAAGGTGCAGTATTTTCAGATGTGTTGTATAGGGTCTCAAAATAGAGATAGTCTTGTTTGTGATAAAAATTGTGATTGACCCCTTTCACTGATTTCTTGACCTACAGAAAGCATACACCGCAGCCTGGGAGAAGGACAAAGTGACCACCCATGTCATGCCAGACGCTCCTGAGATTCTGCTGGCGAAGGCTAATGCTCTGAACATGAGCAATGTAAGGCATTACAAATTATATTTATTATTATTTATTCAATTATTTATATGATTTAACATCTATATCTTATCTAACCATTATGCTGTAAGCCATGGCTATATAATATATGTATGATCCTTAACTGTAGCGTGACCTTTCTGTCATTGTATATGTTTTCACAGAAACTTTACAAAGCTGGTGTTGTGGAGATGGCTAATAAAGGCTACAACCTCAAAGCAGATGCTATCCCCATTCTGGCTGCCAAGGCTGGCACCACCATTGCCAGCAACGTAAGTAGACAATAAAGCAAATCTAGCAAGTTAAGGAGTTTATTTCCTACAGCCCATTACAGATGCTGACCAAGTGCACATTTATTGTTACAGTACAAGTACAAATTGGCTTATGAGAAGGCGAGAGGCCACCATGTTGGCTTCCGCAGCCTCCAGGATGATCCTCTGCTGGTTCACTACATGCAAGTGGCAAAGATGCAGAGTGACAAGAACTACAAGAAGGACTACCACAAGGCCAAGCTGAAGTATCACACCCCAGTGGACATGCTCAGTGTGGTCCATGCCAAGCAGGCTTCTGCTGCTCAGACTATGGCTGGATACAGACACATTCAGCACACTAATGCTCTCCTGCCTGATGCCATAAACCTGGAACTTGCTCGTAACATGCAGTTTATTGCCAGTGATGTATGTATAACAATTTGAATAGATAACAATTTTACACAGTTACTGCCCTTATAGTGCATAGCTGTGAAAAAACAATTGTGTATTCCCCTCAGAACCAGTACAAGAGTGAGTATGAGCACTACATCAAAGGAATAGGATGGGTCCCTATTGGATCACTTTCAGTTGAGACTGCTAAAGTTGGCGGTCAAATTCTTAGTGAAAAGAAATACCGCACTCATCCATCCAACCTCAAGTACAGCAAGCTGATGGACTCCATGGACTTGACTCTGGCTACTGCCAACAATCAGATCATGAACAAGGTGAAATCTTTTAACTTTAATTGGAGAACAAAGCCACACAATATTGTCAAAAACATTGTTCAGAACTGACACTATTATTTGATTTTTCTAATGATTTTTTCTTGCAGAAAGCATACACTGCTGCATGGGAAAAGGACAAACTGACTGTTCATATTATGCCAGATGCTCCTGAGATTCTCCTTGCAAAGGCTAATGCCCTCAATATGAGCAATGTAAGGGGAATCCGTCAAATTAATAAACCTGCTGAGTCTTGTTATTTATTAGGCTGTTAATAATGCAAATCACTTACCTTAGTCATATGTAATTTCAGAAACTTTACAAAGCTGGTGTTGTGGAGATGGCTAATAAAGGCTACAACCTCAAAGCAGATGCTATCCCCATTCTGGCTGCCAAGGCTGGCACCACCATTGCCAGCAACGTAAGTAGAAAATAAAGTAAATGTAGCAAGTCAAGGGGTTTATTTCCTACAGCCCATCACACATGCTGACCAAGTGTGTATTTATTATTACAGTACAAGTACAAATTGGCTTATGAGAAGGCGAGAGGCCACCATGTTGGCTTCCGCAGCCTCCAGGACGATCCTCTGCTGGTTCACTACATGGAGTTGGCAAAGATGCAGAGTGACAAGAACTACAAGAAGGACTACCACAAGGCCAAGCTGAAGTATCACTCCCCAGTGGACATGCTCAGTGTGGTCCATGCCAAGCAGGCTTCTGCTGCTCAGACTATGGCTGGATACAGACACATTCAGCACACTAATGCTCTCCTGCCTGATGCCATGAACCTGGAACTTGCTCGTAACATGCAGTTTATTGCCAGTGATGTATGTGTAAAAGTTTGAACAGATAACAATTTTACACAATTGCTACCACTGTGAAATAAACATTTGTGTATTCCCCGCAGAACCAGTACAAGAGTGAGTATGAGCACTACATCAAAGGAATAGGATGGGTCCCTATTGGATCGCTGGATGTTGAGAAAGTAAAATCAGCAGGGAAGGCCCTCAATGAGAAACTGTATCGTCAGCCTCCTACCAACTTCAAATTCACCAAAGATATGCACTCTATGGACTTGACACTGGCCACTACCAACAACCAGATTATGGATAAGGTACAGAAGAGAATCTGTCATGAACAGTGTTGGGGAGTAACCGAATACATGTACCGCCGTTACGTATTTAAAATACAAAATATGAGTAACTGTATTCTGTTACAGTTACCGTTTAAAAAGGTGGTATTCAGAATACAGTTACTTTGTTGAAATGAATGGATTACACGGCGGTCTTTTCCTGTTTCATAAGACTATGAACTCTATATTTCTGGTAATTCCACGCCGGTGGAAACCCAAACAAAACACGCATTAAGAGCCTCTAATGCCCGTGTCTCAATCTCGCGGCACATGTTACCATTTACTACGGTTCGGAGCCGCGGACCTGTTTTATATATGCGCGGAACAGTTTTCTATACAAGATCGCTGCAATAAGTGCAGCCTTACCTAATGTCCACCTACTGTTACTCATTTTATATCAAGATTTAAAAATCTAGTTGGTATTGGTATGGCGAGTAACCTTCAGTAATAGTAACACAGCAATAGTTCATTCATGTAGTTGTAAAAAGCATGATAATATATTAAGTAATCCAAAGTAATCAGAATACTTTACTCTCATTGAGTAACGTAACGGAATACGTTACAAAATTCATTTTGGGGCATGTAATCTGTAATCTGTAGTTACATTTTAAAAGTAACCTTCCCAACACTGGTCATGAATATAACTGAAAAGTACTTTCTCTTTACTTTATGTGAAGCCGATAATTACATTTTGCTTCTTTAGCAATCCTACATCAAAGCCTGGGAAAAAGACAAGACTTCAGTCCATGTCATGCCTGATGCAATGGACATTGTTCTGGCACGGGAAAACAGGAAGAACTACAGTGAGGTATCGTATAATATGCAGTTTCCTGTCTGTAATGATATGGATGACAGTTAGGGAAACAATTACACTAATACTATTAGCATGTCCATTTGAAGGTAGACATGGTTTCCTTGTTGACATTATTTCTTGCTATAGAAACTGTACAAGTTGGATCATGAACTATCCAAGAAGAAGGGCCATAATCTTCGTAGCGATGCCATTGCCGTCCAAGCTGCTAAAGCTTCCACTACAATTGCTAGTGATGTAAGTGTCAGTTTATATTCTCTTTGCTGTATTGCTTTATGTGAACATTTATTCTAATATGCTGTTTGGTGACTAAACGTCACACTATTGCTTTTTTAGTACAAGTACAAGACAGGATACCGTAAGCAAGTGGGTCACCACATCGGTGCTCGCAGCATCCAGGATGACCCTCTGCTCATGCTGGCTCTAAATTCAGCCAAGATTGCCAGTGATGCTCTGTACAAGAAGGACTTCAACAAGTCCAAGACCAAGTTCCACCTGCCAGTGGACATGATGGCCTTTGAACTGGCCAAGAAGAACCAGATTCAAGTCAACCATTTCAACTACATCACCCGACTGCACAACTGGACATGCCTGCCAGACTCCAATGATGTGGTCCAGGCCAGACATGCGTATAACATACAAAGTGATGTGAGTATATTTTAATAATTTATATTATGAAAATATTATTATATTGCAGGACTCGTGTTTTTTTTACTATATATCGTTTTTGTTGTCCACCAGATTCAATCATTGCAAATCATTCTTGGTTTTTGTTTTTTCTTCCAGGCTGTGTACAAGGAGGATCTGAAGATGCTGCAGGGTATTGGTTGGGTGCCAATAGGTTCATTAGATGTTGAGAAGGTGAAGAAAGCTGGTGAGATCCTGAGTGAGAGAAAGTATCGTCAGCAACCGAGCAACTACAAGTTTAAAATATCCACTGAAGACATGCCCATAGCACTGGCTAAGGCCAATGCTCAGGTTATGAATAAGGTATGAAATCCCATTTAAAACCTCCATCAGCCATACTGGATGTTGTATGTAAATTAAGTTATTGTAAAATTCACACAGAGGTCACAATGTAAGTACTTTTTGTCTTTTTTTTTTTTTCATTTTTGTTACTGCAGAAAGCATACATTGAAGCTTGGGAGAACGAGAAGACAAAGATCCATCTCATGCCCGATGCTATGGATGTCCTTCTGGCTAAAGCAAACAATGTTAACTACAGTGTGGTATGTAGGCATTTGTGGTGTAGAAAGACTCACATCACTTATGAATTTTAAATGTATATAACTTCCATCTGTTGGATCATTGTGTTTCCTTACAGAAAAAGTACAAGCAGGCATATGAAGACTCCAAGAAGAAGGGCTATGATCTGCGCAATGATGCCATTTCCGTCATTGCGGCGAGAGCTTCCAGGGACATTGCCAGTGATGTGTGTCTTTAATCTGAATTATTTACATAAAAAAATATACTAATTGTATCATAATAATAGTGCAAATATATTAGTTTTGATATTGATTTATAGGGCTTATTAATGCATACATGAATTTTTTTAAATAATAAAACCCATTGTACAGCATGTATAAAACTGTTTAAAGGCAGTGATGATATTATTTTATTTTTCATCCAGTACAAGTACAAGACAGGATACCGTAAACAGGTCGGTCACCACATCGGTGCTCGCAGCATCCAGGACGACCCTCTGCTCATGCTGGCTCTGAACTCAGCCAAGATTGCCAGCGATGCTCTGTACAAGAAGGACTTCAACAAGTCCAAGACCAGGTTCCACCTGCCAGTGGACATGCTCAATCTGGAACTGGCCAAGAAATGCCAGATCCAAGTCAACGACTTCAACTACAGAACTCACCTGCACCAGTGGACGTGCCTGCCAGACTCCAATGATGTGGTCCAGGCCAGACATGCATATGACCTGCAGAGTGATGTGTGTATATATTTATAATTTATATATATATATATACAGTTTCTATATTCTATATTTCTACATATAGTTTTTTGTATATCTGCCAACTTTTGCCACAACACTTTCTTTCTTTTTTTCTAGGCTGTGTACAAGGAGGATCTGAAGATTTTGCAGGGTATTGGTTGGGTGCCAATAGGTTCATTAGATGTTGAGAAGGTGAAGAAAGCTGGTGAGATCCTGAGTGAGAGAAAGTATCGTCAGCACCCGAGCAAATATGGTTTTAAAATATCCACTGAAGACATGCCCATAGCACTGGCTAAGGCCAATGCTCAGGTTATGAACAAGGTAAAAATTCAATAACACTCAAAATGCAGCAAAGTATAACTAATACAGAATGACTCTGGTGAAGTACTAATGCTGACATGGTAAAGAAATGATTCTGTGCACAGCTTCATGGTTGATAGTGTTTACATTTTTCCATGATTACAGAGAGCATACATTGAAGCCTGGGAGAACGTGAAGACAAAGATCCATGTCATGCCCGATGCTATGGATGTCCTTCTGGCTAAAGCAAACAATGTTAACTACAGTGTGGTATGTAGGAAATTAAAACGTTTTACTGTTTAAGCAATTTAAACATTTGTTTTGAATAATTAATTCAGATCATTGAATTTATTGCATTAATATCTTGATAAGATGTCAAGGCAGGTATTTAAGTATTCATGATTCTGAACACTATTATTTTTTGTTTTTATTACATGTTTAAAATCTGTTTTTTGTGATCATGAACAGAAAAAGTACAAGCAGGCATATGAAGATTCCAAGAAGAAGGGCTACGATATGCGAAATGACGCCATATCCATCATTGCAGCCAGAGCTTCCAGGGACATTGCCAGTGATGTAAGCTCACTGGATCTGAACAATGATAAACTTTTATATTTAAATATCAGACCCCGCTAACTCCAATCATTATTTTCACAGTACAAGTACAAGACAGGATACCGTAAACAGGTCGGTCACCACATCGGTGCTCGCAGCATCCAGGACGACCCTCTGCTCATGCTGGCTCTGAACTCAGCCAAGATTGCCAGTGATGTTCTGTACAAGAAGGACTTCAACAAGTCCAAGACCAGGTTCCACCTGCCAGTGGACATGCTCAATCTGGAACTGGCCAAGAAATGCCAGATCCAAGTCAACGACTTCAACTACAGAACTCACCTGCACCAGTGGACGTGCCTGCCAGACTCCAATGATGTGGTCCAGGCCAGACATGCATATGACCTGCAGAGTGATGTGAGTCTTTGAATTTCAGTGGTGTAAAATAATCATGTTAATTAATAAATATATTTTCCAGTTTTAGAATATTTTTAATCATAATAAATCCTTTTTTCCTCAAGGCTGTGTACAAGGAGGATCTGAAGATTTTGCAGGGTATTGGTTGGGTGCCAATAGGTTCATTAGATGTTGAGAAGGTGAAGAAAGCTGGTGAGATCCTGAATGAGAGAAAGTATCGTCAGCACCCGAGCAACTACAAGTTTAAAATATCCACTGAAGACATGCCCATAGCACTGGCTAAGGCCAATGCTCAGGTTATGAACAAGGTATGAAATCCCATTTGAAATCTACGTCAGCCATACTGGATGTTGTATTTAAATTAAGTTATTATAAAATGTATATATACATTTACAAGTAGTAATGTAAACAGTTGCTCATTATCTGTTTTTGTTACTGCAGAAAGCATACATTGAAGCTTGGGAGAACGAGAAGACAAAGATCCATCTCATGCCCGATGCTATGGATGTCCTTCTGGCCAAAGCAAACAACGTTAACTACAGTGTGGTATGTAGGCATTTGTGGTGTAGAAAGACTCACATCACTTATGAATTTTAAATGTATATAACTTCCATCTGTTGGATCATTGTGTTTCCTTACAGAAAAAGTACAAGCAGGCATATGAAGACTCCAAGAAGAAGGGCTATGATCTGCGCAATGATGCCATTTCCGTCATTGCGGCGAGAGCTTCAAGGGACATTGCCAGTGATGTGTGTCTTTAATCTGAATTATTTACATAAGAATAAATAATAGTGCGATATAGGTATAATAGATTTGATACGGCACTGTAAAGGGCTTGGTAATATGTAAATGTATAAGAAAATAATAATCAATAAAATTCATCATACACAATGTATAAAACTGTTCAAAGACATTGATGATAATATTTTATTTTTCATCCAGTACAAGTACAAGACAGGATACCGTAAGCAGGTCGGTCACCACATCGGTGCTCGCAGCATCCAGGACGACCCCCTCGTCATGCTGGCTCTGAACTCAGCCAAGATTGCCAGCGATGCTCTGTACAAGAAGGACTTCAACAAGTCCAAGACCAAGTTCCACCTGCCAGTGGACATGCTCAATCTGGAACTGGCCAAGAAATGCCAGATCCAAGTCAACGACTTCAACTACAGAACTCACCTGCACCAGTGGACGTGCCTGCCAGACTCCAATGATGTGGTCCAGGCCAGACATGCATATGACCTGCAGAGTGATGTAATAGTTGTTTTCATGATTCTTTTTATTGCTTTTTAATTCTGTGTTTGTGCTACTAAAAGTATATCACAAGGCTGTTCTGCCGTGTATGTCAGGCTGTCTACAAAGCTGACCTGAAGTGGCTCCAGGGCCTGGGTTGGGTCCCCATTGGCTCGCTTGATGTGGAGAAAGCTAAGAAGGCTGCAGAAGTTTTGAGTGAAAGGAAGTACCGCCAGCATCCCAGCAAAGTTCCATTTACCAGCCCAGTAGATGCCATGAATCTTGTGCTGGCAAAGAATAACGCCCTAACCATGAACAAGGTAGAATTCTTCATTAAAGACTTTCAAAGCCATTTCTATCTGGTTATCACTTTTGTCAGAATCATTAATTAACGCTGCATTATTTGTGTTTTTTCCAGCGCCTCTACACTGAAGCATGGGAGAAGGACAAGACCACGCTGCACATTAAACCTGACACTCCTGAGATCGTCCTCTCACAACAAAATGCAATAACCATGAGCAAAGTTAGTATCATTTCAGAGCATGATTTATTATGTCAACAAGAATACTTTCAAAATATTTTCAATATTTATAATAATTTCAAAAAAATGGAAAATACCTGTTAGGAGTTAAGTGTACTCATTAAGACATTAAGCTTCATTCAGAATGCTTTGGCTTGAGTTACTAGCACACTGATATTCTTACAGTAGACTTGGCGAATATGATCCCTTAAGCAAACCTTATCACTTTATAATTAGGTGCCAAAACTAGAACATTGAAAGTTAAAGTAAAGGTTGAAGTTTAGTTAAAAAAATGTGCATATGTCTTATTTTGCAGAAACTATACAGACAAGGATATGAAGAAACTATCAAGAAAGGCTATTTCCTCCCTGTGGATGCAATCTCTGTAAAGGCTGCTAAGGCCTCCAGGGAAATCATCAGTGACGTAAGTGGTCATACTGTACCAAGTGTCTGTTTACTGACACTTTAACATAATTTAAGCATCGTTCTACTTGTAACATAAATTTTTTTTCGGCTAATTTTATCCAGTACAAGTACAAGACAGGATACCGTAAGCAAGTTGGTCACCACATCGGCGCTCGCAGCATCCACGACGACCCCCTTGTCATGCTGGCTCTGAACTCAGCCAAGATTGCCAGTGATGCTCTGTACAAGAAGGACTTCAACAAGTCCAAGACCAAGTTCAACCTGCCAGTGGACATGCTCAATCTGGAACTGGCCAAGAAATGCCAGATCCAAGTCAACGACTTCAACTACAGAACTCACCTGCACCAGTGGACGTGCCTGCCAGACTCCAATGATGTGGTTCAGGCCAGAAAGGCCTACGATCTCCAGAGTGACGTAAGTCCTTTTGCGGGATACTCAGTGAACCATGCTGCTGATTTTGTCACTATTCTTGTGTTCTGATGTTCGAATTCATGTATACTTTTCTAGGCTGTATACAAAGCTGACTTGGATGAGGTTGTTGGTGTTGGATGGATCCCCATTGGATCACTGGACGTGCTGAAGGCCAAGAACGCTGCAAAAATCCTCAGCGACCGCCTCTATAAGCAGAGACCTGACACACTGAAATATAAGACAGACATGACCTCCATGCCTTTAGTCTTAGCCAAAACAAATGCTGATATCATGAACAAGGTAAAGTGTATTATGTTTGTAATTCCATTGATTTGCCTTCTGTTAAGTCCTCTTGTTTGCACTTTCTGTTTCATTCTGTCTTTTGTGTTTCCCACCACAGAGAACCTACGTTGCTGCTTGGGATGCTGAAAAGATTAAGGTCCATGTGCCCCCTGACACCCCTGAGCTGTTGCTTGCCAAAGCTAATGCTTACAACATCAGCCAGGTACTTTTTGTCTGCACAAATGATTAGGACAATAAAATCCAAGTAGATAAAATTGATTTTTTTAGGGTTTTTTTTTCTTCATGTGCAGATAAAAATATTCTCCTATGTCTCAATTTGTACTTTTGCATTTGAAATGATTCAATGATTATTATCAAATATAAATATGTGATTCTTGAAAAGTTTATAAAAAAAAAACAAGAGTGGCATATTGAAGGGAATAGTAGTTTGTCCTCTGTGTACTTGCTAACATATGACTTGCTAAAATTAGCTTGAGAATTCCCAGATTAAATGTAACTATTTATTTTCTCTTTCCTTCAGAAAATATACAAGGAAGCCGTTGAGGATATTTTCAGAAAGGGCTATGACCTCAAGCCCGATGCTGTCTCTGTCGTTGCTGCCAAACATGGAAGAGAAATCATCAGCGATGTAGGTGACATTGTTTTTCCTTCTCTGTTATTGACTTTATTTGCTTAAATTTATTGTCTTAACTTTGATTTCCTTCCTGCTCGCCACACAGTATAAGTACAAGACGGGATACCGAAAACAGGTCGGTCACCACATTGGGGCTCTCAGTGTCCAGGACGACCCTCTAATCGTGTTGGCTTTGAATTCGGGCAAGATCGCCAGTGATGTTTTGTACAAGAAGGACTTCAACAAGTCCAAGACCAAGTTCCACCTGCCAGTGGACATGCTCAATCTGGAACTGGCCAAGAAATGCCAGATCCAAGTCAACGACTTCAACTACAGAACTCACCTGCACAACTGGACGTGCCTGCCAGACTCCAATGATGTGGTTCAGGCCAGAAAGGCTTATGACCTGCAGAGTGATGTGAGCACTTATCACTTTTTGCTGAATATTAGCTCCAGTCTCTGTCTTCTGTGGCTTATCTGTAGCTGTGACCTGTGGTTCTTCTTCTCCTTCGGCTTGCAGGCTGTGTATAAGGCTGACATGGAATGGATCAAGGGAATGGGATGGGTGCCAATTGGTTCAATTGATGTGGAGAAAGCCAAGAAAGCGGCAGAGATTCTGAGTGAGAGAAAGTATCGTCAGCATCCCAGCAACTTCAAGTTCACTGCTAATACAGCTGACATGCCATATGCCCTTGCTCAGGCCAATGCCCAGGTTATGGACAAGGTACAGATAGCACATCTTATCCATTATTGTTCTGTGGGAGCCAGGTCTTTAAAAGTAGTGCATCAAAAGTATATGAGGTTCTTTTTGTGTCACACCAATGACACTAACTTTTTATTTTGTAGGGCTTTGAGTCATTTTATGTATACTGAGTATATTAATCTGCTTTTTACAGAAAGCCTACATTGCTGCCTGGGAGAATGATAAGACCAACATTCATGTAATGCCTGACACCCCAGAGATCATCTTGGCCCAGCAGAATAAACTCAACACCAGTCTGGTAATACAGTCTCTTCTTGCATAGGTTTTACAACATGTTAGCATGGTACAAATGATTATGTTTTCATAGGTACTGCTCTTTGTATTACAGTGTATAGAACATGAGACCCTAAAAGCATTATTCTTTTATCTCCAGAAATTTTATCGTGAAGGCTATATGGAAATGATCAACAAAGGCTACTACCTTCCCAAGGATGCAATCTCTGTTATATCAGCCAAGGCTTCCAGAAACATCATCAGTGATGTAAGTTTATGTTTCCCACTTGCTCCAGTTTGTCTTTTTGTTGCTTCACCACAGTAAATGTAGGGTTATTTTTGAATTTATTTTGAAACTGATGCATTATTTCTATCCATATTTCCAGTACAAATACAAGGCTGGTTTCCGCAAGCAGTGTGGCCATCACATCGGTGCTCTCAGTGTGAAAGATGATCCACTAATTATGCTGGCCGCTAATGCAGGGAAGATTGCCAGCGACAATGTCTATAAGAAAGACTTTAACAAGACCAAGACCAAGTTCCACCTCCCAGTAGATATGCTGACAATTGAACTGGCCAAGAAATGCCAGATCCAAGTCAACGACTTCAACTACAGAACTTACCTGCACCAGTGGACGTGCCTGCCAGACTCCAATGATGTTGTGCAGGCTAGAAAAGTCTATGATTTGCAGAGTGATGTAAGTACATGCTATTGTTGTAGAAAGCACTTTTTGGATTTTAATCGATTGTTCAATTATTTTCAGAACATTTAAGCCTCTATCTGTCTCTAACTGATTAAATAGACCTTTTTACATCCATTTTGAGTCATCCCACAGTTTGTCAAATGCAAACCATACATGAACAAATTCTGTATTTAATTAGGTTCAAACTGATTTTTGTGTTTGTAGGCTGTGTACAAAGCTGATCTGGAGTGGCTCAGGGGATGCGGCTGGTCACCTCAGGACTGTATAGATGTCGTCAAAGTGAAGCATGCCCAGACTGTCCTCAATGAAAGGCTCTACCGCCAACACCCAAGTACGGTCAAGTTCACCAGTGTCGTTGACCTCCCAGCTATTGTCTTGTCCAAGCAAAATGCTGAAAACCTCAGTGATGTGAGTAACATCTTTCTGTAGTTTCTTGGATTTTTTTTTAAATTGTGAAACCCAAATATTTGATAAAAATATCTATTCAAGTGGATAAGATGAAGCAGTTAATGTTTTTTTTTTTTTTTTTTATCTCTGACAGAGGAAATATAGGGAAGTCTGGGATAAAGACAAGCTCACCATTCATGTGCCACCCGACACCCCCACCTTTGAACTCGCCAAGGCCAACGCTGTTAATATCAGCAATGTACGTTTGTGTTTACTTTACCAGTGTTTACTTTTTAACTTGTCTGTGCAGACGCACAATTTTTGTTGATTTATTTGTTGATTTTTTTAAAACTTTATTTCTTGTTCTGTGCAGAAATTGTACACAAAGGCATGGGATGACCAGAAAGCAGGAGCCTACCATATCAAGGAGGATGCTATCTCTGTGCTAAAGGCTAAAGCTTCCAGAGATATTATCAGTGATGTAAGTTAAAAAAACAAAACAAAATTAACATTAAGAAATGATCTACTTGCTGACTACGTCTAGTCCTACTTGCATTAACCTTTAATTTCTGCTCCCTTTAGTACAAGTACAAGACGGGATACCGAAAACAGGTCGGTCACCACATTGGGGCTCTCAGTGTCCAGGACGACCCTCTAATCGTGCTGGCTCTGAACTCAGGCAAGATCGCCAGTGATGTTCTGTACAAGAAGGACTTCAACAAGTCCAAGACCAAGTTCCACCTGCCAGTGGACATGCTCAATCTGGAACTGGCCAAGAAATGCCAGATCCAAGTCAACGACTTCAACTACAGAACTCACCTGCACCAGTGGACGTGCCTGCCAGATTCCAATGATGTGGTTCAGGCCAGAAAGGCCTACGATCTCCAGAGTGATGTAAGTTTATAGTTGCACATGTGGGTAGTATTCTACCAATCAATAGTGTCAGTGTAGTCAGAAAGTAGAGAACAGATCATAAACATTTATTAAATGTAAATCCTTTTACTCGTTTTACTCATTCGGCAGCCAAATACACTTTTTACTGTTTTTACAGTGGATAAAATACATTACAGTTTTTCCTCTAATACTATTGTTTTCACTCTTCAGTCCAGTTCATCCAGTAACAATGTTTCAACTTTTGTCCTATAGTGTACAGTTGCATAAATTATCTGCCTGCTTTCTTTTCTCAGGCTGTTTACAAAGCTGATATGGAGTGGATACGTGGATGTGGATGGATGCCACATGAGTCCGTAGAGGTGTTGAAGGTGAAGCATGCGCAGAAGATCCTGGCTGATGTAAGTTTGTACCTCACTAAGACTTAAAAACAAATAAAAAGTATGTGTATGCACACTGAATAGTTTCTTCCATTTCTTTCTTGTATAGAGAGGCTATCGGATCAAGTTGGATAAACAGCAATTCATGGTTCCAGCTGACAGAATTGACTTAGTCCGTGCCAGGAATGCTGCTGAAGTCCTGAATGAGGTGGGGATGATTGCCTGTCATCAAAATGCTGCTTGGTTTTGACTTTTTGTTCTTAATGTGAACCGTGTGGCAAAATAGTGCTAGTGGCAAATTCCAGGTAGCTGAATTTTGATTTCCCACGTTGCTCAGGCTAAATATCGTGAGGCCTGGCACCAGGACAAGACCAAGTACTCATTGGTGGACACACCATCTCTTGCCACAGCCAGAGAAGTGGCGAAGAATGTTCACCCGGTAAGACTGATGGCATATATGATGCATTTTCTGCATATTTTAACTCAGCAAATTTCAGCCTTGTGCAGTTCCTGCTTTATTATTAGCAAAATAAGTGATACATTATCTTTTGTAGAAACTGTACACCAAAGAATGGGATAAGGTCAAAGCTACAGGATACTTCATGCCTCCAGATGCTGTACCAATCAAGCAGTGCATCCAGACAACTAAAGTGCAAAGCAAAGTAAGTAGTAGGATAAAATTTAATCAGGTTTGATTTAACTGACAACTTAATAATGTGGTAAAAATAAGTTCTTTCTTTTTTTTTTTGCCTGTCTTGTAGCATAAATACCTGGAGGGATACCGTAAGCAGGTCGGTCACCACATTGGTGCTCTCAGCGTCCAAGACGACCCTCTGCTCATGCTGGCTCTGAACTCAGCCAAGATCGCCAGCGATGCTCTGTACAAGAAGGACTTCAACAAGTCCAAGACCAAGTTCAACCTGCCAGTGGACATGCTGCAGTTTGAACTGGCTAAGAAATGCCAGATCCAAGTCAACGACGACAACTACAGAACTCGCCTGCACCAGTGGACGTGCATGCCAGACTCCAACGATGTTATCCAGGCTCGCAAAGCCTATGATCTGCAAAGCGATGTAAAGCACATTTGTAACTATTAATCATATTGACATAATAATCTGACAGAAACGTCTGTCTTGACTTCCTAACATGCATCTTGCTTTCGATCTCTAGCACGTCTATAAGTCAGATCTGGAATGGCTCCGAGGCTGTGGCTGGGTAGCAGCTGACTCTGTTGAACATGTGAAGGTCAAGAAGGCCCAGGAGATTCTCAATGATGTATGTTTACTGCATTACATGACATTCAGCCTCTTTTTCAGTTGGTTTTTTTAATCACATGTTGTGTCATTGTGTCTTGCCTCACTGCTCTGTTTTATTTACAGAGACTTTACAAGAAGACTGCCCAAGAAGGTTTTGGAAGATTCACCCTGGTTGTGGACCGGCCAGAGATAGTTTTGGCAAAGATTAATGCTGCCAACCTGAGTGATGTATGCAAAATCTAATATTTAAAATGACTCTCGATCGGAAAACCGGTGAGCAATGATCTGAAAAAAAGTTATTTTTTCTCTAATAGTTGAAGTACAAAGAGACTTTCAATGCAGAAAAGGGTCATTATATTGGCTCAGATGATACTCCTCAACTGGCCCATAGCAGGGAGGTGGCTAAGATCATCAGTGAGGTAACGTAAAAATAATAATCAAATCCTTTCTAGATTTCTAATTTATTTATTGTAAGTTCTGTGTTATATACATGTATTGTGCCAGGCTTTTCTTAAACTTTGCATATACCTTTTGTGGTTTTAGAAACTCTACAAATCAAACTGGGACGAGTCGAAGGCTTCAAGCTACCAGCTGAACCATGAATACATCCCACTGGTCATCTCCAAGAAGAGCAGGGACATTGCTAGTGATGTGAGTGTCTTATATTTCTTTAGAACTGTGATAAGATTAAATCTAATAACATGATATATTTTATTCTTGCACTACTGCAATTTTTATCATTCTAAACACCATTAGGTCAAGTACAAGGATACCCACGAAAAGGCCAAAGGTCACTACATGGCTGGAACCCTGGTGGACTTCCCTGAAGTGATGCGCTGTGGACACCAGGAAAAGAACAAGGCACTGGTGAGATACTACAAAATATAGTACAGTATAAAAAACTACACCACTACACAATGCACTGAGAAATAAGAAACCATTAGTAACAACAGGCACTCAAAGAGGCAGCTCACTCTCTGGACAGTATTTACTGTTAAGGAAACAATGTTGTGTTTTGTATCTAATAATTTGGTTTTCTTTGTTGTTTTTAAATATACTATGAGAACTTTGTAGTGCAGTAAAATACAAATAAAGGGAGCATGACAGATGTTGATGTTTTGACTGTATAAACATTATGTAGGAACAATATGAAGTTATTATTGTCAAGGCTCGGCTGTGTGGCAGGCAGGAGGAGGACCCAAACGCAAAACTCACAGACACGGGGATGAACTCAAAATCACAGCTTTAATGCTGGAGAGGCAGAACATAGGAAATACAAAACTAAACTGGGAAAAGTAAACTAACACTCGGAGAGAGACACAGGGAAATCCACGCAGCATGAGGGACGACGTCACAGAGAGCACAGGAAAACACAGGGCTTAAGTACACGGGGAGTAATCAGGGAATGGGCCACAGGAGGGAGACACAGCTGGGAGCAATAAGGCTAGCGAGACAGGGGAGAGGTAAAACTGAACACACTGACATGAGACATGAACTTTCAGAATAAAACAGGAAACTGACACAGAATCAGACAGGACACTGAACATGACAGGCAGACTCATGAGCAGACACAATAACACCATGGACAGACAGAGGGAACACAGAGAAGTGGGAGCAGGCAGGCAAAGAACAGAAACCTAACAAATGGCAAAATCACAACAGAATACACACTCGGAATGAACAAAAGCATAAGGAAACACAAAACACTGAGTCCTCAGACTCAGGACCATGACAATTATATAATACTATGATACTCATAGTACTATATAATACATATTATATCATTAAAAGATATAACACATTTTGGGGCCCACCTGCAAGAAAGGCAGATGTGAAATGTAAAAGTGAGGTCAGAGCTCAAATGTGACGTGATAACTGGATACAAATTTTAATGTAATATTCAGAATCCAGATACAACAGTATAATTTCCTAAATGTTGACAATACAAACAAAGGCAGCAGAATTTTTATGCAAAGTTTTAAAATAAAAGAGCTTCTACAAAAATACATGAAAACTTGATGATTTTTAAGTTGTTTTTTCTCTTGTTATTTCAATTATATTTGCATGTCCGAAATAAAATTCTATCTATCTATCTATCTATCTATCTATCTATCTATCTATCTATCTATCTATCTATCTATCTATCTATCTATCTATCTATCTATCTATCTATCTATCTATCTATCTATCTATCTATCTATCTATCTATCTATCTATCTATCTATCTATCTATCTATCTATCTATCTATCTGTCTGTCTGTCTGTCTGTCTGTCTGTCTGTCTGTCTGTCTGTCTGTCTGTCTGTCTGTCTGTCTCTCACAAGTTGTGCTATATGTCTGAAACATAACCTCCTCAGCAGAGGTAATAAAACACATTAGACAGAAGGATAGCAGCAAGACTGAAAGGGAAGGTTTACAAGACAGCAGTGAGGCCTGCTGTGATGTAGGATTTGGAGAATGGTGACGCTGATGGATAGATGGAAAAAAAATGAGTATATTAGAAGAACAGCTCTAGTCGAGTAGTTTGGTGTCGAATTAGAGAGGCAAGGCTGAGATGGTTTGGCTACGTGCCGATAAGGGACAGTACATATGATGGAGCTGCCGAGCAGGAGGAAAAGAGGAAGACCTCAGAGGAGGTTCATGTTGTAGTGAGGGAGGACATGCAGTAAGTCGGTGTGACAGAGGAGGATACTGGGGACAAGGTAAGATGGAGTCAGATGATCTGCTGTGACGATACCTAAAGGGAGTAGCTGAAAGAAAAACATGGTGATTAATAAAATATGTTAGATGCCACTATATGTGTATTACAAGTATATAGAATCAATAAGTCTCAATGTATTAATTTTATTTTTGAGATCATAGACTGCATATAAGAATAGAGAAGGGGGCGGTTGTGTAAATTGGTAATTAATTATTATTGTTTCTAACTCATCCTAAGGTCAATAGATATGTATTCTGACCGTTTATTTGTTTATCAAAGTGTTTTAGTTACCCTTGTGGATTGAACTTATTTTTTAATACGTGTAAACTTTATTTCAAATTAATCTCTTTTGCATCGCTAATCAGTAAGTTTCTATCGTGTGTGTCTAAACAGAGGGTCTACCAGAAGGACTACAATCAAACCAAAACCAAAATCCACATCCCATCCGACATCATCGCTAACCAGGTAGCTAAGCGGTGCCAGGACATGCTGAGTGATGTTCTTTACCGCACCTACCTGCACCAGTGGACTTGCCACCCTGAACAGGAGGACGCCATCCGTGCCCGCAAGACCAACGAAATCCTCAGTGATGTAGGTCCTTCTTCTGTGCACGTCTGCCGCCTGGTTGTGCCTGATTGTTGTGCGAGATCCCGTACAAACTTGTATTACATGAAGTATTACATGAAGCATTATCTAGACATTATACAAAATCTTTTATCTTTGTATTTATATAAACGCCAGAAATGTTATTACACGTCCCACATTAATAGATGTTTCTATCTGCAAGCAAATATATAATGTTGTCCGGGTTTATTGTCATTTGATAGGTGTTCTATAAGGATGACCTGAACTGGATGAAGGGTATTGGTTGCTACGTTTGGGACACACCAGAGATTCTTCGTGCCAAGAAGTCCTATGACCTGCAAAGTGATGTGAGTAAAAACATGTGATTCCTGAATTGTGTGTGTGTTTATGGGGATTTGGATTTTTTCTATTTGTGTTTGATAATGTACTTATATAATATGCTCCCGTATAGCTTAAATACAGAGAGAACGCCAAGAAGGAGTTCAACAATTACTCCATTGTGACAGACACCCCGTCTTATGTGACTGCTGTCCTGGGCCACACCTGGGCCAGTGAGGTGAGTGAGCTGCACTTTTAAAAACTACAAAATTAGTGTTTCAGTTTTGAACTCATACTGAGTGGATTAATGAAACATTCATCACTGACAGCTCAACTACAGAGAGGCTTATCAAAAGGAGAAGCACATCTACACCACGGTTCTGGATACCCACGATTACGTCAGATGCCAAAACTTCAAATACATTTTCAGCAACGTAAGTGGAGATCCAGTAAAAATGTCTGTCCTCCTGTCACTGATAAGAAGTGATAGATATCTGTAAATGACATGTTTATGGTGACGTTCTGGCTTTTTCTATCAACAGAAAAACTACACTTCTACCTGGGACAAAATCAAAGCGAAGAGTTACCAGATTCCACATGACGCAAACGCCTTGCAGCACGCTAAACAGCAGAAGATTATTCTCAGCAATGTACGTTTCAATTTTTATTTCATATTATTGTTATGATGATGTTCAATTTCTGATCTTTACAAGGCAATATGAATCCTCTCTCCCGTTCAGGTGAAGTACAAGGAGGACTACGAGAAGTTCAAATCTCTCTACAGCCTGCCCAAGTCACTGGAGGACGATCCTGGAACTGCTCGTTGCGTCAAAGCTGGAAAACTCGTCCTAGATGTAAGCTCCATTTGTTTTGCCCTTACACCTTCCACATATTGACATTTCTCTTGATGAGCAATAGAGCGGCTGTGTTGTTTGATTAGCTCTATATTACAAAAACATGCATCCCTGTGTAGATTTTATTGTGCATATGACAACTGAAAGAACCATCTGTTTTTCCATCATTGCAGCGTCTGTACAAGGAGAACTATGAGAAAACCAAGGCCAAGAACCACATCCCCCCAGACATGTTGGATATCCTGTCTGCCCGTAGTACCCAGAATGCCGTCAGCGAGATCAACTACCGCAAGTATCTGCACCAGTGGATTTGCATGCCTGACATGCAGGTGTACGTGCAGGCACGCAAAGTCAATGAACAGCTCAGCGACGTAAGTAGCAGTCCTCAGCTTTGATATTCTGTGCTGGTTATTGCTTATTTTGTCAGCTCTATCATTCTCTGTGCTATGATCCTATATGTTTACATTTTATATTTTTTCTTATTTTATTTGTTTTTGTTTTTCATTTTTGTGAGAATATTGAAAATCAGTTAAACCACACTGAGTTTTTTTCTATTCCTTTTTTGTTTATTTCTTAAAAAATATGAAAGGTCAGGATGTTTTGTTGCCTTATTGTATGTAAAAGAAATCAAATAGCTACATTCTTGAATCCTATGCACTGAAACTAATTTCAGCCACAACATTTTACCTCTCCCCAGATCTTCTACAAGGATGATCTGAACTGGCTCAAAGGTATTGGTTGCTATGCCTGGGACACGCCAGAGATCCTCCGTGTCAAGAACGCTGATAATCTTCAGAGTGAGGTTAGCCCAAGCAACACACTCATTCTCCATCCTCTTCATTGTTTTAAGTTTCTAACTTTAGTTCATCTCCTTTATAAGGATTTTGTCCTAACAAATGATTGCTATGCTTCATTTTTGATTCTAGAACAAGTACAGAGCCAAAGGCAAAGATGCTTTCAAAGAATATTCAGTGGTGACGGAGACTCCAGTGTACGAGACCGCCAAGCAGAACGCTCAGAACCTGAGTGACGTAAGGGATTTTATTGTCTTAGATTCATGCTAGCTCAGTAGTTTGTTAACACTCTCTTTGTACATTACAAACGAAAAGAAGTAAGATCGCAAATCTCATCCTTTTTTTTTCCATTTGTTTTCCCAGCTGCACTACCGCTATGATTACAACGCCAATATCAAGGGTACCAACACCGCTCCTGCTGTTACCATTGAAACAGAAAGAGCCCGTCTGGCCAACTACATCCAGAGTGATGTAAGATAACGTTCCTTCATATTCAGTGTGATTGTTTAACAATTATTATCATATATTGTATAGTATCAATATTTAAAATTTTTAACAACATCTCTCATCATGTGTGTTGACTTCTCTTAGAACTGGTACAAAGAAGCTAACAAGAGCTTCATGCCAACCGGTTATTCACTGCCTCATGACACCCCCCTCATCAAGCAGGTCAAGTTGAACACTGTTGTCTCCAGCAATGTAAGTCAAACACACGCTTGGGCAGATCAGAACTTTTTTATTTTTACGGTAATTTGATGTCTCTGAATGACACACTTTTGTTTTTATCCTTGCAGGTGAAATACAAGGAGGCCTATGAGATGGTGAAGGCTAAAGGCTACACTCTTCACCCAGAGGGTGTCAACTTTGTCACTGCAAGGAAGGCTAACAAGATCATCAATGAAGTAAGATGACACACAGCTGTTATACTTAAGCCAGACCCACTGTTGTAGATTAATGTTTCATTTCCTTGTGATGGATGTTAAATGCTGCATAAAACAGTGCTGTGCATGTGTTTCTTGCTCCTCCAGCGTCTGTATCGTGAGACTTACCACAAGCAAAAGGACAAGATCCACACAACCTATGACACTCCTGATATTAAACAAGTCAAGATGAACCAGGAGCACCTCAGTGACGTACGGGCACCCACAGATTACAACATTCATGTCCTTTTTTTTAAAAATTCATGCTGTAAGATGGACTTTTTTTGTTCCCTTCTTACCCTAGTTGTGCTACAAAGAGAAATACTACAACAGCAGAGGCCAGCTGATATCGTTGCCCATAACGCCTGAGCTCATGCACTACCACCACGTCAATGAGATCACCAGCGACGTATGTAAAGAATAAAATTAAAACAAAAGGTGGAGTTTGAAGATGTTTTTTAAAATAATTTTTTAAATTGTTTTGTGTTTTTAGCTGAAATACAAAGAGGACCTGATGTGGCTGAGAGGCATTGGCTGCTTCTTGTATAACACCCCAGAGATGGTCCGTGTCCGCGACGTCACCAAATTCAGGGTACGTCTTTTTGGATAGAATGGATTCCTATTTTTCCTTTCCAATGCATATTCAGGCATCTGCATCATTCATATAAACTATTTTTTCTCTCTTATAGGTGAGCTATCCAGTGGAGGCTAAGAAGAACCTTGCTAAATTCTCTGTGGTCCTGGACACGCCTGAGTATAAGCGTGTGACTGAGCTGAAGACGCACATGAGCAACGTGAGTTGGTTTCCTAAATGTGCTTCATCGTATTATAGCTTCATGTGATCTGCTTTCCAAACAAAAATGAGCTTGCAGTATATTCTAAAAAACAAAAGCCACACGTTTTGACATTCGCTCTGTTTCTTTCCAGCTGATCTACAAAGCTCAGAGCAAGGAGGACATGGCCAAAGTCACCACAACTGCAGACTCTGTGGACATTCGGAGAGTCAAGTGGGCCCAGCAGCTGGTTAACCAGGCAAGCTCAAATAAACAGCATGAATAACTGAATCTATTATATGTATGTGTGTGTCTTTCCTGATAATCTAATCAATATTTTTTCCCTTCTGCTACAGTACCAGTACGTAGATCTGGCTGCCAAACAAAGAGCTCATTTCACTCCAGAAATCAATACTCCAAATATGGGCCATGCTAGAAAAATGAAAGTGTTCTACAGTGATGTAAGTCTGATCCTTCGTTCTCATTTAATGCCGCTGTCACTGAAACCTCAACCTAAAATTGTTTGTATTTTATTTTGTTTACACTATTTACTGTAGCTGCTTTCTATATACTCTTATACTTTGCCAAAATAATTGAAATTACAGCAATTGCAGTCTCCTCTGAAGCCAATTTCTAAGGTGTTGTCTCAATCGTTTCTTCCCTTAGAACAAATACAAAGAACAGTATGAGAAGATGAAACACCGGTACACTGCCATTGCTGACACACCTCTCCTGATCCGTGCCAAGAAGTCCTACCTGCAGTCCAGTGATGTGAGTTTGCTCATTTAGGAAACTTGTGATTTAGTTTGAAACTGTTATGCATTCAGGAATTATAGGAGTCAGACTGTTTGTTAATAATTTTTCCACTGAAAACGGTCAAATTTAAGAGATTTCATTAACTAATAGTGAATTTTATCCCATGTCAAAATATAAATATTCTTTATCTGTTTATCTGATTTTACCCTTTTACCACAAATACTGTACAAGTCAGTGTGAAATTGTAGATGCTATAAATCACATTATGTGTGTTTGATGAATGTATATGACACGTTTTCTCCTTCGTTTCTTCAGCTGCGCTACAAAGAAACCTTTGAGCTTTCCAAGGGACACTACCACACAGTCAAGGATGCTCTGGACATCACTTACCATCGCAGGGTCACTGATGACATTAGCGAGGTCGGCAGTTGAAATGATCTGGCTCATTGTTAACTATAAATGTCTTTATAAATGTACATGTTTTGAGCTTTTGCATCTCCATCTACTGTTTTTTTCCTCTCTTATCAGGTTAAATACAGAGAGAAGTATATTAGCTCTCTGGGGACCTGGAAGTCCATCCCCGATCGTCCCGAACTCTTCTTCAGCAAGATTGTCAGCGGTAACGTTAGTGACGTGAGTACTCGTGACTTTATTCACCGTGTGGTAAAATGTTTACAGTTCATTAAAGAGTATTCAGTACAATGAGCACTGAGACACTACACAACATTTCAATTTAATTTAATCTCATTTTATGTGTTTTTTTTAGGTCAAGTATAAGGAGGACCTGGATTGGCTGAAGGGTATTGGCTGCTTTGTATGGGACACACCTGAGCTGGTGCAGGCTGAGAGGAACAAGACGCTCTACAGTGAGGTAAAGCATCAGTGACATTAAGCTTCATTTTTATTTATATGGCACCTGTTTATGATTTGCAGTATCGAGGTATAGTTTCTGTATTTTCTTAATAAAAGTTGTATTGTCTGTCTGCAGAGACTGTACAAAGCCTCCTTTGAGAAGAACAGAGGCAACTTCAAGTATACCAGCGACACTCCATTCTTCCAAGCCGCCAAGCAAGCCTCCGTTCTCATAAACGATGTGAGTCCCGTCATTCTTTAACCTCCAGCAATAAATAAAAATTGGATTTAGTTTGTTAACGCATTTGTAAATCAAATGAAACAGTTAACCACATTTCTATTTTTCTGTGCTTCTCTATTGGACTCTCAGCGTGGAGGTAAAAAAAAAAACAGGAATTCACTGTAGTATTTTATAATTGCCTACACTGTTTATCACTGACTGTTTTTGTGTTTACCCTTAAAGTCAAGTGTTTAAAATGTTTCCCTTTGTTCTTTACATCAGTCAGTTTTTACCTTCCTTAAATTCTTAAAATGTTTCATCCACATGACGCGAGATGAAACATTTTGTTCTCTGGGGACTCCTTTTTAACTACCTTCTGACACTTTGAGCAGAGGGCTTACAGAGCAGACTATGAGAAGACCAAGGATAAGTTCACCATAACTACAGATGATCCTAGATATCAACTGGCCAGGGAGAACAGGAAGATGAGCCAGGTAAACGCCCTGGTCACGTTGTACCACCGGCCTGCCACCTCCGGTCTGGTCCCCGAAGAGCCCTGACACCGGTGCATGAGGTTGTCAGCAGGACTGCTGATGGTGGACATCGCATGGCATTTATAGAGCTCCCAACTCAAAAAAAATTATTTCCCTTTTGTATCAGTTTCTTCATTTTGTCCCACACAGGTTGCTGTTGAACTGCCACTCAAACAGCAGCTGGAATGCTGAGTGTTATGCAGTGTTGTCCTTCATCTGCTCCATCAGAAATGACAGTTTAATCACTAGCACAGTAACAATTCAATCCACTGAGCCGATCGTCTCACACTCGCTGTAGATGATCATCCCTGTCACTCTGAGGGCACAGATAAGGACAGACAGCACCATCGTCACACTTGGATCCGGAGTTCTTCTCCAGTCCTCCCCCATGTTACTGCTGTTTTCCTTTTGTGTCCTCAACTATGGCATGCTGTGTGTGTGTGTGTGTGTGTGTGTGTGTGTGTGTGTGTGTGTGTATGTCATTGTGTATGTGGACAGAAAATGTATAAATCCAGAGCAAAGGATCTACTAAAGGGTGGCTGCAATGAGCTACTCCGCCCTGACATCCTCACAGCCCTTTACCAGACCACTATGGGCAGTAAGGTAAACAAAGAGAGAAGGGAAGCATGATAACTTTGATCTCTGTCCACAAACAGGCACAAAATAGACCATGTGTTATATATCATAAGACTCAAGTCATAGATGGAGGTGACTTTGTTCCTCCCTGCTGTTTGTGGACAAGGTCTTATCACATAAAATCCCCATCCTGCAGAAAATCTTTCCATCCAGTCATTCCATTTAAAAGTGGCTTTAACTCCCACATAGTCCATCCTTCTTCCATGCTCTAATCCCTCCATCGCTCATTTGCTTTTCTTCATGGGCAATTCATTACCGAAGCTTTAACACTGTTTGCCCAACTGCCTTTGAGCAATTTGGTATCTAAAGTCAGAAATGCAGTAAAATTTAGTACATTATAGCTTCTCCTGGAATTTGTTAGTTTTGACCAAAATAGCAATCACAGAGTCTTCTCTTATGTTAAACTATATATATATAAATCAAAAAAATATATATATAAATATATATATATATATATATATATATATATATATATATATATATATATATATATACATACATACATACATACATACATACATACATCATCTTAAACCATGTGGGCACTGCAGACTTTCATGATGGTGGTAAGGCATTTAACTGTCTCTATTGTCACATGAATAATGCATCCCTCTGTGCACGTGCACGTCTCTCATCGAGCATGCCTATAAGCTTTTCCATTGCTTTGTTTCACTCAGTCGATGTTGCATATTGATTTAATTATAACTACATGCTAGCCAACTTGCTCCGATAGTGTTTAAAAGCTATCCAAGAAAAAAAAAAGTAATTAATTTTTCCTTAAAATTAGCTATAATATGCTATAACGCTAGCGATGTTTTAAAATTAGCGCTATCATCTCAACTGACTCTTAAGAAGCTGAAATAGGACTTTTTTAAAAATCTGCAGTAGGGTTGTATATGTATAGTGTCTGCAAGACTTTTTCGATGTTTTCTTGGACAGTTTTTCTACCACTTTAGAAGTTGCTTGTTATATTCATAAAGACAACAACAACAAAAAAATTCATAAAGACAAGCAAATTAATACAGCAGCAATTTCATTGCATGATGCTAACTTTCTTTTGTTTTCACATTATCCTTGTTCTATCAGTGGAAGTATAGAGAGCAGTATGAACGTGCCAAGGACAAGTTCACCTCTGTTCTGGAGACTCCTGAGTATGAGGCCCACAAACGCAGCAAGAAGATCAGTGATGTAAGTGTTGGGTTTGCAAGGTTTTTATTATTATGTTTAGATTTTTACAAGAACTTGTGAAGAAGCAGTGGGTTTTTTTGTGTTTAAATTTCACCTGTTACTATCTACATCTGCTTAGATCATCTACAAGATGGAGTATAACAAGACCAAGGCAAAGGCTTACACCTTACCTTATGACACTCCACACCAACAACACATGAAGAAGGTCAAGGAGATCACCAGCAATGTAAGTCTGCACTGCACTTTTAAAATATTCTTTCATACACTGGCACAGGAAACCAAAATACAAAATGTACTTTTGTATATTTTATGTGTCTTGCAGCTGAAGTACAAAGAGGTGTATGAAAAGAGCAAGGCCCACATCAACATTGACCCCGAAGCTCACGAGATCCGTGCCGCTAAGGAGGCCTACAAGAACATCACCAATGTGAGCATCTCGAGTGCCAGAATTTTCAAATGACATTTTTAAACCCAAATTTGTGCTAACATCCAGTTTTTGATTCTGTTTTATTTTGCTATATTTCTAGCTTGACTACAAGAAGAAGTATGAAGCAACCAAGAACCAGTGGATCTGGACAGCGGACAGGCCCGACTTTGTCAATGCTGCCAAGAACTCCTTGCAGCAGAGCGATGTGAGTTGGGACCTCTTATTTTAATGTGTGTCATTTTAGCAACATGCAGCACTGTTGCTCTCTTTTTTTCACCGCCATATTTTACCAACAGGTTGAGTACAAGTACGACAAAGAGATCATGAAGGGCTGCGTGATACCTGTGGTCGATGACAAGTTAACCTTACTGTGCATGAAGAATGCTGAAATGGCCAGTGAGGTAAGTTTCCCCATTCTTTATTAGAGACACCATATTTAGTTAAAACTACTAAAGGCCAGATAGTGATGCTTAAGAATGTGATGTTTAATGTCCTAAACTGCTTCTTTTTTCTTTTGCCCATCCCAGGTGAAATATAAACAGAAGTATGAGAAGGAAAAGGGACACTACATGCCTGTCCTGGACACTCCTCAAATTCTCCATGCCAAGGCTGTGCGTGTTCTGGCCTCAGAGGTAAGAACTGTTCAGCAAAAAATTAACTGTACTATAGGGTATATATAGTATACCCTTAGGTAAAACTTATGAGTTTTTAAATGTTTTTATTCTTTATTTTATTGTTCATCAGAGCAAATACAAGGAGGCCAGTAAGAAGGAAATGCAGTCCGGCTCATTCACCACCCTGTCCGACACTCGTGATACTGCCCACAGCAGGACAGTCAACAAACTTGTCAGCGGGGTATGACTGTCTTACTATTACATGCGTTTCACAAAATGAGCTCAGCCAGCGTGTAACCCTGGACTGTTTGTTTGCAGCTGGGCTTGATGTGCTGTTCTATCTTTTTAGAAAGTGTACAAAGAAAAGTTTGAGAAGGAAAAGGGCAAGTCCATATATAACCACATGATTGTGCCGCCTGATGTTCAGCATGCCATGGACGTGGCCAAAAATCAGAGCAATGTGAGTCATTTCCACAAATGGGCTAAAACAGTTGGGGTAGTTGGACTTGGGGGTAATTTTTTCAGCTTTTCATAGTTGTCTGTGGATGTGGAAGTCAGGTTTACTATATTGCATTTCCAATTTTGTCCAACTGGACAGGTGGCCTACAAGAAAGATGCCAAAGCCAGCCTGCACTACACTACTGTAGTTGACCGTCCTGACATAAAGAAGGCTACCCAGGCTGCTAAACTCATCAGTCAGGTAACCATGAAGTACACTGATACTGACTCACCAGCTCAGTACATGTAAATGTGTTTAAAGGCTCAACTCAAGACAAAAGAAGAGAAAAAAGGAGCATCCCTATAGTACCCATCCCTGTACTGTAGTTTCTACATGATCAACTGACTCTTGTCGGGTCTTGTGCCCATCAGATTGGCTACCGTGAGAAAGCACGTGAAGAGGCCAGCCGTGGAGGCTCTCTAGCCCACCGCCCAGATATCGCTTTGGCAACTGAGGTGTCCAAGCTGACAAGCCAGGTACACTAAATGAATTTGCTCACCTGTCTCATCCAGCCCTGGACAGTCGGGTTCCTTTGCCACTGGGTCGCAACGATTGTCATCTCATAGAAAAGGCTTCCCTTGTTTATTCATTTATTCATTTATTCATTCATTTAATTATTTATTTAGGTGGCAGCCAGTTGGAAAGATCAGCTGCCTGGATTTTAACTGTCAGATCAGCTTCCACAAGCTAATATTAGCAGACTAGTAGTGCTGTGGTAGATGCTTAGCAGCAGTCGTGTTGGCCTAATGATACAACTAGCAGCTCTTCCACTGCGCTTCCTCTGCCATCCTGCATTATAATCCATGTTACTCCATGAAAGTAGATATAGATGTTTAACCATACCATTGTACATGTCCCACCACCATCCTTATACCTGTCCTCCTCTTCCTCCATCCTTCAATACTATAACTCTTCTTCTCAACCTTAATCTCTTTCCTCTTCTGTCTACTTCCATAACATCCTAGTCTGTGTGTTCTCATCCCTCCATCTCACTGCGCTTTGTAGGTGGAGGATAAGCCCTCCCTCCATGGAGCAGCTTCCTATGATACCCCCCTGATGCGCCACATTAAGAAAATGAGTGCGGTGACTAGTGATGTAAGGAGGTTTATGCCCTAAAACTGACGGACTGCTGCTGCTTGTCTGTCCTCTCTGTCTCTCTGTCCCCCTTCCTGCTGACCCACAGACTGGCTGAATACAGGGTTCACTGAGCCTTTAAGATAAACATCTGGAACTTTTGAGAAAATATTGATTCACAAATCAAATCTTACAAAGTTCCTATTTGATTTGCTCTTTCTTTTCTTTGCAGTGTCCACCCTCTGCTTTTTTTATATTTCCATTACAAGATGTGCCTCATTGCTAAGCATAGAGAACAGCGTTACTGCATTAGCTGCCTGGCGCTAATACTATGTGTTTATTTAAACTGTCTTTTCAGATTTTTCCCATTATTTCCCTTTAAGTCTCCATGTCTGTTTGTTTCTGAATGTGACAAAAGGCTTTTCTAAAAATGAACTTGAATTGTTCTTAAAAACATGTGTATGTCCAGTAGTTCACCGTGCTGTGCTCCATTTTCATCGCAATCCTAAGGGGTGGTGTAGGCCCTCCTAAAAGTTTGGAATACGGTTACAGTAGTGAAAAGTTAGCCACAATTCCTGTTAGATATACACATGTTTTTATAGCACACCTTTTCAAACGTGTTCCTGTGTTCTGCCTTCACTCTAAAGTGGTTTGACCTGTGGAGCCAAACCACACCTGACCTGCGTCCACAACCACACCGCCTTACCTTTTCCATATATATTTTATTATATATGAAGTTCATGTTTGTGTTTATGTGAATTACAGGATGCTTTATTTGCTTATGTTTACAGTACAAAGCATCTTGTCTGATCAGTTTGATCAACTTTAAAGTTAATAAATGCATCAGAATCAGTTTTACATTTGCAACCAATCTATTACACACTTTTCATTACTGCTCAACATATTTATGAAAGAAAAAACAAATTAAATACTTAAAATGTGGCGCAGAGCCTGTGCAAAGCTTTTATAAAACTATCTGCGAGGAATCTGAGTCACTAATCAAATCCAAAAACTGTTGTCCTTCAGTTGTTTTTTACTATGATGGAGACGTCGGCTGATGTTGGTTTCCTCTCAGTCAATACATAAACTAACTTGTACACATATCCTACGCTAATGAACAGGTGAAGTACAAGGAGAAGTTTGATAAGGAGATGAAAGGAAAGAAACCTCAATATGACCTGAAGGAAAGTAAGATTTACAAGACTCTCAAGGAAGCCAGTGTGCTGGCCAGTGAGGTGGGTGCTCGCGTATCTTATCATCACTTCACACCGTTTTTATCATAGGCCAAAAAAATCATTCATTTTTTCCACAGTTGTTATACTTTTGTATAGTTTGTCTGATTGGTTTATCTATGGGAGTAAAGCAATATCTGATTTTGGCATCCTGGTGTTGTTACTAGAACAGAGACAAACTAAATGTATCCTAGTAATTCTTTACATTTCTGTGAAATTCACCATTTCAAACAAATATCGCCCATTATATATTACCATAGTGTCTAATTAATGTGACTGCTGTCAATATAACACACAGGTGAAGTACAAGGGTGACCTGAAGAAGATCCACAAACCTGTGACCGACATGGCCGAGTCCCTGTCCATGAAGCACATCACGAGCACCAGCAAGCTGTCCAGCGACGTAAGCTACCTGTGTGACTATTAACCTTTAACCCTCTCACATTCCCAAACAGGAAGCTGCAGCGAGCGAGTTTGGTTTCGTTGCACAGTGTGCTGAACTCTGTTTCCATCACCTCACAGTAACAATCGGCAAAATGTAGCAAACTGCTGACCATCTCATGGATTTATGCACTAAGCTCCATCATAAAAGACATCCATCATTCTCTGACCTCATCTGGTAGTGATCTTTACCCATCTCACTTTTGACCTTTGACCCCGAATACTATCACCCTCTATAACCTCTACTTCTTAACCTTTTCAGTGACTTTTTTTCCTCCGTAGTTCAAACAAAACTAGTCTTTTATTAATGTTCACTTAACACCGACTTCCTCTTCCTGCCTTTTGTAGATTGACAATTATTTTAACATAACTTTAAAAACCCTTATGTTTAAATGCTATTATGTTTCTTTCTATCATAAACTATGAGGATTTTCTGCTAAGTAATGATTCGCTGTACTGAGCTGCCTTACTTTACTGGGAATCCCCCATAGTACTGCTACAAGAAGAAATTTGAGGAGAGTAAGGGTCACTACCACATGATTCCCGACACACCCGAACAGCTCCATCACAAGGAGGCTTCTGAACTTCAAAGTAACGTAAGTGGTTCATACTCCCGTGGGGCAACGAGCACTCGACACAGTAAAAAAAACACTATTGTGGGTTTCAACTGTGTCAGACAGTTTTCCTTCCCACTGTCGCCAAAGTGCTTGCTCACAGGTTGATTGTTGGGTTTGTTGTTGGGTTTTTCTCTGTATGTATATTTTTAGGGTCTACCTTACAGTATAAAGCGCCTTGAGGCGACTGTTGCTGTGATTTGGCGCTATATAAATAAAATTGAATTGAACTGAATTGATAATACTTTCTATGTTTATTATACTGTAACAATTTTAATGGGGTGTTTTAAAAATGCTGTTAAAATTGATATTTTAAAAAAATAAAAAATAAAATAAAAACAAAAAATACTCATTTTGTAATTGTTTATGATATAGCATATTTGGTATTATAGTTTTCTTTCCAGGGAGTCATTTCTCATATCAAGTCACTGTTAAATACCTTGATTGCATAATCAGTCGCAGTGAAGAGCCGTGCAAGCTTTTCTTTTCTGTTCTCATTTACATTAATTACAGTAATTTAACTTGTCTTGAATCTTACTGGATGGATACACCTTACAGCTTTTCTGTTTGATTTTCCCAGCGTACAGAAATGAATGGAAACCATGTGATATCCCCACAGTGTGTCTTTCCTTTGCAGACAGTTGAGTATGTTTGTGTGGGTCGTTACAGGTGAAATACAAGGAGAAGTATGAGAAGGAGAAGGGCAAACCTATGCTGGACTTTGAGACACCCACATATGTGACTGCTAAGGAGGCTCAGCACATGCAGAGTCAGGTAAATAAGCCTTCTGTTAACCTCTGCCAATGAAGTACGCACAGATGCAGTACGTTTTCCCATTGCAGACCTCTCTTAAAATCTTTAGTGCCTCCTTAAGCGCTATATTAACTTGTATTGTCTTGCCTCTTGTTGCTAGTTGGATGCAAAGCCATTGTTTATGTTATGCTTACAGAATGATTCTAAAGTATGGAAAAACATTTTACAATGCCTTTAGTAACTTTATTACACCAAAACTGCAATTCAGTAATTTTATAGTCACAAAATGTTTTAAATTGCAGAAAATTCACATCAGTAGCTCTTTACAGTCGTCCTATTGTAATACTGTGGCAGTGTAAAATGCGCTGAAAGGAAACTCACCCGGAAACTTCTGTATTGTTCACTTAATGCTATGACAGGTTATTTTCCTGTGAAGATGTCAAAGTAAAGTATGTGTTTGGCCTCTTTCCTGGAGCCTGCTTTATAGATTTTAATTACAATACGATATCCTAGTGTAGTTCCTTTTTCACAACAAACACCTCTTACACCTCCACACATGCACTCAGACACATTTACAGACATCAGATATACAGTTATGGGTGCTATCATGAGCAGAATGGTGCAAACAAGAATGAAGGGAGCTGCATTGTGAACCAGCACTGCTTGCATGTGGTTATCTGAGCTCTGTCTGTCCCTTGTGTTATCTCTGTGACCAATAGAAAGACTATAGGAAGGACTTTGAGGAGTACATGAGGGGAAAGAACCTCTCAGGCTTGGAGGTCACCCCTGCCATGATTCATGTCAGACACGCCACCAAAATAGCCAGTGAGGTAACTAAAGGACAACTTACATCTGATGGTGTCTCCTATTTACCTCACCCAAGCTTCATAATCGTACTAAGACAACATCACAATCGGTCTCTTTTTCTTTTCACCACTTTTTTTAGCCCTTCCCAGTTTGTCTTTTGCAGTATTATTAGTTTATTATTAACTTTTGCATGATTGTCTACAGAATAATAATGACCTACCCATCCTCCAGCCATCATGTGTCTTCCTAGCAGTAAAGTACTCAACTAATATTGAATAGATCTTCATTTTACAGTCCTTCACCAAGTAGTAGCTTACCACCAACTTTATGTGACAAGACTGCATGCATGTAATCATTTGTGTGAAACAACAGGGTGAAATGCTGATGTGAATTCCCATCTTGTTGATTTCCTTGTTGTTTTAATGAAGATTTTGTTTCTGCTCTTTCTGATTAAATGTGTTTCAACTTGTTTTTTCATTAGAATCCTGCCAAAATCACCAACGTCTCCAGTTTTCTCTGTAACAATATCACCGATTGTAATGATAATACATAAAAGCAGTGAATGTGTCTCTGCGTAACTTGGAAAGACTTGGTGACTTTGAGCTTTTTAAAGGCAAGCAGCAGAACTTGCCGACTGTATCGTTTGTCTGTCTGTGTGCTTTGGCCTGGCCTGCCTGTGTGCCCTTCTCTGCAGTCTCTCTGTTCTTCTTCCATCCTGTAGAAAGAGTACAGGAAGGATCTAGAGGAGGGGGTGAAGGGTAAAGGTCTAACTGTACTGGAGGAAACTCCGGAGCTTTTGAGAGCAAGAAATGCCACTCAAATCCTGTGTGAGGTACGACTGACCGAGAGGTGATGCCAACAACATCACGCTCTCATCCGAATGACTTCCAACAATCTCGCTCTTCATGAATCCTATCCCCTCTTAACTAAGCTTCACCATTGCACTAAAAGTGAGACTGTTGGGTTCACTCGTCCTCTTGTCCCTGCTTTCTTATGTCACTAATTTCCCATCATTGTATTTTGTGTTTCATGACCATAACCTAACCTTCATCTGCACCCTATTTAATTTTGCCATGATTTTCACTTGTACTCATATTTATTTGTGTATTATGAATCCTACAAAAATCAGCCTCAGTTGTACCCAAAGCATATCTTCTCTTCTCTTGTTTTTCAAGTCAAACATGCAATGTTGAATTTTTATAGAATTTTAATGACTTTATCTTTTTTCATAAGTGATCCCGGTGCTTGCAGATCTCTTAATTGTTTTGTTGTTGTCGGTAGTGTTGTTTTTGAAAAGATATACTCTGAGTGCATTTGAGGTTGATTTGTAGATTGCAAGATAGATGTATGATGACTTAATGAACAAACTGAAGAAGTAGAAATAGTCTATTTTATGTCATGTCTCTAACTGCTGACTGCTGTTGTTTTATTTTCAGTTCTGTGTCAAGCTTCACACTCAGTCTTGTTACCACATCCGTTACGTAGATTCTGCTAACTTTCTCTATTCTCTGACCCCTCATGATTTCTGGTTTTGCAGCCCTCTTCAGTATGAATGAGTAGAAACCCCGTTTTGTGTTTTTTTTAGAGTAACATTATCATGTGTAAAAATTTTAACTTTTGGTGTTTACAGAGAGAGTACAAAAAGTCTCTGGAGCAGGAGATCAAGGGCAAGGGAATGCTGGCTTTGGCTACAGACACCCCAGACTTTATGAGAGCCAGGAATGCCACGGAGATCCTCAGTCAGGTCTGAATCTTAAATGTTTTTTGCATCGCTTTCTTGGAGCAGTGATTTCCAGAATGTGAGCTGCAGGCCCCTGATATGAAATGAAGGTATTATGAATTAATTATTTATGTAAAAGACAAAAAAAATCAGAGTGATTGCAGGTTAATTTGGACTGAAAAGATTCCAAGAGTAACAAAAGTCGAACATTTAGACTAGACAGAGTAAGACTGGGCTGATGAGAGGGCTATTTCTTCACACTAGGCTGAGGCTGATTAGGGAAGGGGAGACATGTGGGGAATGAGACACGGGTGAAAAAAGTCAGCACAATGACAACATTGGAAGTAAACTTACATAATGCACAAAGAAAAATCAAGCTTTGAGGAAAATGGGAACTAACTAAAAGACAAATGCTAAATATAGAGACAGCACACAGATACAAGGGAACAGTGAAGGAAGTAAACACAAATAACAAAGTCAAAGAAAGAACTTGAGTAAATACAAAATGACAGCTCAGGTCAATTTGTATTCACGAACATAAAAACAGGCATCAAAAACTCAGAAGACAAGAACTAGGCTAGAATGGTACAATAAATAAAACTAACGTTTGGTGAAACTATGAGCACACGTCCGGTGTTAAAAGGAATATCTGTTAATATTTTCCGCTGCATTTATGATCAGTGCTGACTGGCTGTTTTTCTTTTCCAGTCTAAGTACAAGCAGACCGCTGAGATGGACAGAGCCAGCTACACAACTGTCATCGATACCCCTGACATCATCCATGCTCAGCAGATGAAGAACATCGTCAGCCAGGTAGGTTACTGAACTGACCCAGCCACCACTCTCATCAGGATAAATCATTAGCATATATAAAAAAAATCACAAATTGTATTATCATCCAAACAGAAAAAATACAAAGAGGAGGCTGAGAAGACCATGTCTCACTATGTACCAGTCCTGGATACTCCAGAGATGCAGCGAGTCCGCGAGAACCAAAAGAACTTCAGCACTGTAAGTAACACACGAGGAGTTACGCCGCGTCCGGACAGGTCAGCACGTCCTGACTGAGGTTCTTTCAGCATCTTGTGTCTCTATGTGCGTCTTTATAGCTGCTGTAAAATTATATTTCCAGTACTTTATATGTTTGCAGGGGCGCCACCAAGGGGGGGGCCACAGGGGGCCACTAGCCACACTTCAAAATTTGCTGCCCCCCCACCGAATGCCCCCACCCAGCAAGATTGTCCAATGTTGGTAATAATTCTAATAAACATGGGCACAAAAGAGAGGAAGACACCATATATTTACTCATTTAATCCTGTTTAAAACAGATTATTATGGATTTCATAATATTATTTGGTTTTCACAGAGACCTAAGCTAGGCATAATTATTCTTTTCCTTCTATGTTATTTGCCATATTTTTCAAGTAACCTACAGTGGGGCAAAAAAGTATTTAGTCAGCCACCGATTGTGCAAGTTCCCCCACCTAAAATGATGACAGAGGTCAGTAATTTGCACCAGAGGTACACTTCAACTGTGAGAGACAGAATGTGAAACAAAAATCCATGAATCCACATGGTAGGATTTGTAAAGAATTTATTGGTAAACCAGGGTGGAAAATAAGTATTTGGTCAATAACAAAAATACAACTCAATACTTTGTAACATAACCTTTGTTGGCAATAACAGAGGTCAAACGTTTACTATAGGTCTTTACCAGGTTTGCACACACAGTAGCTGGTATTTTGGCCCATTCCTCCATGCAGATCTTCTCGAGAGCAGTGATGTTTTGGGGCTGTCGCCGAGCAACACGGACTTTCAACTCCCGCCACAGATTTTCTATGGGGTTGAGGTCTGGAGACTGGCTAGGCCACTCCAGGACTTTCAAATGCTTCTTACGGAGCCACTCCTTTGTTGCCCGGGCGGTGTGTTTTGGATCATTGTCATGTTGGAAGACCCAGCCTCGTTTCATCTTCAAAGTTCTCACTGATGGAAGGAGGTTTTGGCTCAAAATCTCACGATACATGGCCCCATTCATTCTGTCCTTAACACGGATCAGTCGTCCTGTCCCCTTGGCAGAAAAACAGCCCCATAGCATGATGTTTCCACCCCCATGCTTCACAGTAGGTATGGTGTTCTTGGGATGCAACTCAGTATTCTTCTTCCTCCAAACACGACGAGTTGAGTTTATACCAAAAAGTTCTACTTTGGTTTCATCTGACCACATGACATTCTCCCAATCCTCTGCTGTATCATCCATGTGCTCTCTGGCAAACTTCAGACGGGCCTGGACATGCACTGGCTTCAGCAGCGGAACACGTCTGGCACTGCGGGATTTGATTCCCTGCCGTTGTAGTGTGTTACTGATGGTGACCTTTGTTACTTTGGTCCCAGCTCTCTGCAGGTCATTCACCAGGTCCCCCCGTGTGGTTCTGGGATCTTTGCTCACCGTTCTCATGATCATTTTGACCCCACGGGATGAGATCTTGCGTGGAGCCCCAGATCGAGGGAGATTATCAGTGGTCTTGTATGTCTTCCATTTTCTGATGATTGCCCCCACAGTTGATTTTTTCACACCAAGCTGCTTGCCTATTGTAGATTCACTCTTCCCAGTCTGGTGCAGGTCTACAATACTTTTCCTGGTGTCCTTCGAAAGCTCTTTGGTCTTGGCCATGGCGGAGTTTGGAGTCTGACTGTTTGAGGCTGTGGACAGGTGTCTTTTATACAGATGATGAGTTCAAACAGGTGCCATTCATACAGGTAACGAGTGGGGGACAGAAAAGCTTCTTACAGACGACGTTACAGGTCTGTGAGAGCCAGAGATTTTCCTTGTTTGAGGTGAACAAATACTTATTTTCCACCGTGATTTACGAATAAATTCTTTACAAATCCTACCATGTGAATTCATGGATTTTTTTTCACATTCTGTCTCTCACAGTTGAAGTGTACCTCTGGTGCAAATTACTGACCTCTGTCATCATTTTAAGTGGGGGAACTTGCACAATCGGTGGCTGACTAAATACTTTTTTGCCCCACTGTATATTTCACAACTGCATAATAAAACGGGAAATTCTGTTTTTGCTGTGCTACCCCATTTTTTTAGTTGTGGCCCCCACATGGCCACCCCTATGAAAAAATTCTGGAGGCGCCTCTGTTTGTATGTACTGTTTTAATGTTCTACTCCAGTTAGTTTTGTGCCTTAATCAGGGATATACGTGAAGACTTGACCTCTTTTTCATTGTGAAACATCTTAACTGCACTTTTGTTTTTCTCCTTGTAGCTTCAATACCAGGCTGACCTTAAAAACATAAAGGGCAAAGTGTCTACTGTAAAGGACACTCCTGAAATGCTGCGTGTTAAAGAGAATACAAAGAATTTCAGCTTGGTATCTACTCCGTAATATTTTTTCTTAACTTTTTCTAATATCACATTTTTTACATAATTCTTTGAATTAATTTTTTTGGGTTTGGCGTTCCACATTTTTTAACAAACCTTGATATGCAGCCCTTCTTTATTTAGAGCAAATTATTTTATTTTTTTTAACTTTGCAAAACAGGCAGTTTTTAATTTGTGTAACTAACTCTTAACCCTTGGTTCTATACTTTAACCTTTACTTAAAACTCTTAGTGCAGACGTTGTGGTGTGAAACGCTTTGCTCAAAGTGTTGTAATCAGGCAAAATGCGTGTGCTTTATTTTTTAAATGTTTGTATAGATTTTGTCTCATTCTGTGTGCTTTTGTTGACGTGTGCTCCCAAAGGTGCAAGATAAGTAAATTAGCGCTCGGTGAGGCTAACCACTCGTTTATGCTTTGATTCCTCGTCCGTGTAAGATTAAGTACAAAGAGGATTTGGGAGGAGGAACAGCTTTGCCCGAGACCCCTGAGATGGAGAGGGTTAAACGCAACCAGCGCAACGTCAGCACGGTACTCAACAGAGTGACCCTGCCCTACCTCATTACTCCTCAGCCACTCCTCCCTCCATATTTCCTCCTCCTCTAGCATCAAAGAATAAAACCAGACCTGCCATCACATCTAATCTCTCCAAATAATAATTATATATTCAACTGTTTTTGTTTTTTGCAGAAACCTGTTTTTCATTCTAATTTTTTTTTGGAGCCCAGAAAGAATCCCTAGATGCTAAGAACTAGATGACCAAAAGTATGTGGAGACTTTATTGTGCCTTTGTTTGGGGCTGTTAGTTCACATTTGTTCATTTTACAGGACTTAACAGACTTGGGTACATGAAAAAAAGCCTTTTATATTTGGACCCTGACAGAACCCAGACCTCATCATGCAGGCTCAGCGTTTGAACTTATTAAGAGTCTTGTGGCTGATGTGGAGCAAATCCCTGCAAACACAACAGTAAATGCAACACATGAATGTCCATGCTTTTAAAATGCAGTCTCAACAAAACACGGTTGTATTATTTGTGTATCCACATACTTTTGGTGATATAGTGTAAACAGATGGTGTTTCCACTGTGAAATACTTTGAATCTTATCACCCACAGGGGACTGTGAGGACTTAACAGACTCATAATTAATTTCATCTGAACCTTGAAGTGATAAACTAAACTAAGCATCACCCACATGCACCTGCGTCTGAAAACCGATATGATCAGTAACCTTTTCATTTCAGTTGTTCTGAAGTCAACACCTGAAATGTGTGCGTTCTTTGTTAAATGTTTGTATAGATGTTTGTCTCATTCTGTGTGCTTTTGTTGACGTGTGCTCCCAAAGGTGCAAGATAAGTAAATTAGCGCTCGGTGAGGCTAACCACTCGTTTATGCTTTGATTCCTCGTCCGTGTAAGATTAAGTACAAAGAGGATTTGGGAGGAGGAACAGCTTTGCCCGAGACCCCTGAGATGGAGAGGGTTAAACGCAACCAGCGCAACGTCAGCACGGTACTCAACAGAGTGACCTGCCCTACCTCATTACTCCTCATCCACTCCTCCCTCCATATTTCCTCCTCCTCTAGCATCAAAGAATAAAACCAGACCTGCCATCACATCTAATCTCTCCAAATAATAATTATATATTCAACTGTTTTTGTTTTTACAAAAACCTGTTTTTCATTCTAATTATTTAATTGTTTAGATTTATTAAAGGATCTTTTTGGAGCCCAGAAAGAATCCCTAGATGCTAAGAACTAGATGACCAAAAGTATGTGGAGACTTTATTGTGCCTTTGTTTGGAACTGTTAGTTCACATTTGTTCATTTTAGATCAGCGGTCCCCAAACCCCGGGCCTCGGACCGGTACCGGTCCGTGAGTCGTTTGGTACCAGGCCGCGAGAGTTGAGGCTCAGGTGTGAAATGTATGGTTTTCAGGGTTTTTATCGGTTTTCAGTGTTATTTTGTTATCGTTTTTATCGTTAACTCAGTTTTCCTGGGTCTTTTCACGTGTGTTATGAATAAATCTTCTTTTTTTCGGTACCGGTGCTAGTTTTATTTTGTTGTATTTATCCGCGACACCTTAAAGGCCGGTCCGTGAAAATATTGTCTGGCATAAACCGGTCCGTGGCGCAAAAAAGGTTGGGTACCGCTGTTTTAGAGGACTTAACAGACTTGGGTACATGAAAAAAAGCCTTTTATATTTGGACCCTGACAGAACCCAGACCTCATCATGCAGGCTCAGCGTTTGAACTTATTAAGAGTCTTGTGGCTGATGTGGAGCAAATCCCTGCAAACACAACAGTAAATGCAACACATGAATGTCCATGCTTTTAAAATGCAGTCTCAACAAAACACGGTTGTATTATTTGTGTATCCACATACTTTTGGTGATATAGTGTAAACAGATGGTGTTTCCACTGTGAAATACTTTGAATCTTATCGTCCACAGGGGACTGTGAGGACTTAACAGACTCATAATTAATTTCATCTGAACCTTGAAGTGATAAACTAAACTAAGCATCACCCACATGCACCTGCGTCTGAAAACCGATATGATCAGTAACCTTTTCATTTCAGTTGTTCTGAAGTCAACACCTGAAATGTGTGCTTTATTTTTTTAAATGTTTGTATAGATGTTTGTCTCATTCTGTGTGCTTTTGTTGACGTGTGCTCCCAAAGGTGCAAGATAAGTAAATTAGCGCTCGGTGAGGCTAACCACTCGTTTATGCTTTGATTCCTCGTCCGTGTAAGATTAAGTACAAAGAGGATTTGGGAGGAGGAACAGCTTTGCCCGAGACCCCTGAGATGGAGAGGGTTAAACGCAACCAGCGCAACGTCAGCACGGTACTCAACAGAGTGACCCTGCCCTACCTCATTACTCCTCAGCCACTCCTCCCTCCATATTTCCTCCTCCTCTAGCATCAAAGAATAAAACCAGACCTGCCATCACATCTAATCTCTTCAAATAATGATTTTACATTCAACTTTCTTTTTACAGATATCTGTCCTCGTGCTAATATTTCATTTTTATAACTCATTAGAGGACTTTTCTTGTTTCCACTGTAAAATAATTCACAGTTTATCATCCACAGGGGACTTTTAGAGCTTGCGTAATAACTCATTGTTAATTTCATGTGAACCCTGAAGTAATAAACTAAACTAAACATCACTCACGCTGAAAACAACCTGCATATTTTTACATTAGTCCCTTTAAATATACATAAATATGTCTGGAAATCAGTATCCTCTCATTTCAGGTGTTCATGTTGTTTTTATGAATAGCTGCCTGTGTATGTGTCTACAGTACAAACTGTGCTTTTGTTTGTCACCGTCTGATTTTGCACCTGTGTAACTTGTGCAATGGGCAGATACAGTACAAGGACTCTGTGGGTCAAGGCACAGCCATACCAGATCTGCCTGAGGTGAAGCGGGTCCGAGAAACCCAGAAGAATATCAGCCTGGTAGAGGAAAAAGACTGCAGTGACCCTAATATGACTTCCTTATAATAACTCCCCCCAAATGCCCTCTGATCTCATCTTACTTATCTAGAAAACTTTACCTTTCCTGTATTTAGCGCTGGTTTTCCCCTCCTACATCCTAACCATGTTCCATACGTCATTTCCTTTTACGAGACAAAAATACCCTCCCTTTTCCTTATTACTCCGCTTTGGAATTTTTCTGTCTTTTTTAATTTTTTGAAATTCCTTCCTTCCCTCCTAAATTGAAAACTAATCATCTTTTGAGTGTGTTACAACAATAATTGACTTTTTTGTGCTGTTTTATTCAAAGCATCAATACAAAGAAGGCGTGGGAGGAGGCACATCAATATCAGAGACGCCAGAAATGGAGAGAGTTAAACGCAATCAGCAAAATATTAGCACGGTACTCCACTGCAGTGAACCCCTAGTCTCCGATTTGCATCCGTTCATCCCTCCACCTCAAACAGTGCCATAACAATTCTCCTTAGCCTCCAGTAGATCTTCCCAGTAGTTGTTGTGTGTGTCTAACATAAACCTGCTTCTTTATTTTTTAGGGAACGATGTGTGTTTAATTTCATGTTCTGTCTCTGCTGTGATTTTTGGTGCCGCTTGTGGCTTTTTGTCTGCGTGTTTTTCTGTTATTGATCTGTTACTTACTTTTTTTTGTACTTTCTCTGCACGAATCCCCAAATTTTATTTGGTTAGATAAAATACAAGGACTCTCTGGGTCGAGGAACAGCTATACCGGATCTCCCTGAAGTGAAGCGAGTCAAAGAAACCCAGAAGCACATCAGCTCGGTAGTGGAACCGTACCACGTTTGCTCCTAACTGTGAACAGTAGAGTCCTATAATAATGCCTATCATACACTTCCCCCTTCCTCATCATCTCTTGCTCATCTCATCAAGCTCCATCCAGGGCCCAGACTGCCCATCCATCTAATTTACACCCTTGCCTTTTTCTCTTTATTATTTTAATCCTCAATCATCAGTCCCCTAAACTGAATAAAATCTTCCTTTTTGGTCTGTGAGTCTACTATCTTCTAACCTGCAGCTCATCTTTCTTCACATTAAGCTGCTGTGTGCTGCTCTTAATTTCCACTTCACAGCTAAATCTCCTGCTAAAGCATTAGGGATGTTTGTCTCCACGTACAGCAGAGATCCTGGCTGCTCAGCAGGAGCTACCAGGATGGATCACTCTATAGGACCAATTTCTCAGACGCTGCTTAAATATACCAAAATAATATACCAAAAAAATGCCACCAACTAAAGAAATGACCTCTCTGAGTTTAATCAATCTCAGATATTTCCAGAAAACTCCTCCTTGTCAATGAAAGCAGTCCTATAGGTGTGCGTGGTCTGTATGTTTGAGTTTCTGATTGGCCCCTCGGGGTGCTGTGCTTCTGCCCTGTAGGTGTTGTATAAAGACAGTTCAGCCAAGGGAACGCCTGTGGTGTTTACTCCAGAGATGGAGCGGGTGAAAAGGAACCAAGAAAACATTAGCTCGGTACCTTTCAGAACCTGTAGAACATGTTCTGCTGAAGAAATGTTCTACTCCTACCTCTTTTTAACCCTTCTCTAACTCTGATGTGTCCCCCTGGCTCTTGTTAATCGTATTAATTCACCTGACTGCACTCTCTCTCTTTTTTTTAAAATATGTTTAATACCTCCAGCTGTGGTGTGCCTGTGCACATCATCACTGCTAATCTCTCCTGCTGTTTTCCCACTTGATCTTATTCCTTTCGGTCTCCCACTGAAGATTGGAAAATAACTTTATTTCCTTTTAATAATTCGCCCACTTAATAAAAGTCTCCCTGCTAATTCATCCCAGTAGTGCCATAGCTCATCCCAGCAGCTGCCTGTGTCCTCTTGGCATTAAGTCTCTCTGACCACACCTCTTGTGCTGTGGATGCTAACAGCTATTGAATGATGGTTTGGGAGTGTGAAATATTTTAGATCCTTACTACTTTTGATCTGTCATTTCTAGGTTCTGTACTCTGACAGCTTCCGCAAGCAGGTCCAGGGCAAAGCCGCCTTTGTTCTGGACACACCTGAGATGAGGCGCGTCAGGGAGACTCAGCGTATCATTTCTGGGGTAAGTTTTTGTGCTTGTTTGATTAATTTCTGTTCTAAGTGGAAAAGTGCTTTCGTTGTTACTTGACTACTTGAAGAGTAAGGCTTCAGTACTCTTTGACACCTCATCATCTCAAAATGATTCAAAACAAGAATCTGGTCGCCAGTCTTAAACAATGTTGCTACACAAAGACAAACTAAAATTAGAATTGATTCAATAATGGAGAAATAATGGGTTTGGTATAGAGAAAAAAGACAGACAACACATTTTAGTATTTTAAGTAGTTAAAGTGGAGGCTGGCATCGATGCCAGTTTGGTTGGCTCGTGCAAAATGGGTCCATCCGCCCTGCAGCTTCACTTACTGTATTTGTGCACTTCAGGTGAGATACCACGAGGACTTTGAGAAGAGCAAGGGCAGCTTCACTCCCACCACCACTGATATTGTGACAGAGCGTGTGAAGAAGAACACGCAGGACTTCAGCGACATCAGCTACCGTGGCATCCAGAGGCGCGTGGTGGAGATGGAGAGGAGACGTGCCATAGAGCACGACCAGGAGACCATCACTGGTAACGACAACAGCAAGCACTAAGCTTTAGGAGTTGTTAGCTTGTTAGCAAAAAATAAATAAAACTGAAAGACAAAATACCTCAAAATTACATTCTGGAGAGACATACCTGAAGCAAAACTGTAATACGGACTGTTATCGGCTGATCTATTCATCTCCTCAGATCTGCGTGTGTGGCGCACAAACCCCGGCTCTGTGTTTGACTACGACCCCGCTGAGGACAACATCCAGTCCAGGAGTCTGCACATGATGTCAGGTGATTGAAATTCTAGAGGATCGATTCAGAGAGCCAAAGCTTTAGTTATGCTCCCGATGGATTTATTCAAAGTTATCATTAAATGTCAGGGAAGCTAAGTGACTGGCAAAGGATTATGTATTGCTTCTCGTGTGTGAAGCAGGTGTGTCACTGATAGTTAAATAAATAATACGCATTTGAAATAATGTCTTAATGCTGTTCTGACAGTACAAGCTCAGCGTCGCAGCAAGGAGCACTCCCGCTCCACCAGCGCTTTGAGCGGCGTGGCTGATGAGAAGTCTGAGGTGTCCCAGGATGCTGACCACCACATGTCCCTCTACAGCAATGGCTTCATGACCTCCTCTATTGGTAACCCTCATCAGACTAAACAGCAACAAATACACTTGAGAGTGAAGAATAATTTCCCCTCTACTTAATCTGTTTGTTATTTTAACATCTTCAGGCTACCAGCATGCTACTGTGAAGACCGTGGAGCTGCAGCAGAGGTCATCTTCAGTGGCCACCCAGCAGACCACAGTCTCTTCCATTCCCTCACACCCCTCTACTACCGGGGTTAGTAACATATATTTATATTGTACATACACTTTACATGGTTTAACTTTTCTCCTGTGGGGAGTGATGCTACAGGTGATGCTTGGTGTGGTCAGGTAAAGCAGGTTTGAAACGTTCAGTGGGATTATCATTATTTTAGTACATCAGTTACATTATTTTATGGCCTGAAGAAAAGAAGCTGAATTTAAAATTTCTGCTTGTTTGTCAAGTGTGTCCATCTCTTTCCTTCAGAAAACCGTGCGTGCCATGTATGACTACACCGCAGCCGACAGTGACGAGGTGTCCTTCAAGGACGGCGACGTCATCGTCAACGTGCAGTCCATCGACGAAGGCTGGATGTACGGTACTGTTCAGCGTACCGGCAAGACCGGCATGCTGCCAGCCAACTACGTTGAAGCAATCTAAAGACAGAGCCCGCCCACGGTCCCTCCGTAGTGGGCGCGATGCATCCACAGGGCAAACTCATCGGTCTTCCTGTGATCACAGCTGTGGCTTAGTGCAATGTGTAGCTTGTAGTGTCTGTACTTGTATTTTACTTGTATTGTGATTCTCGTGGAGTCTGTCATCATTAATATGCTGCTGCCCCCGCTCCCTGTGGATGTGATATTAGCTTCATGCCATGACCCATATAAATAGATCTGATTATACATAATGTGCCTACTACGAATGACAACGTGTTAGATTGTTTTAACTATTCTGTTCCTGTCCTGGAAAAGCGAGGCTAACACACAAACTGGCCCTTTGATTTTGTACATTTCAAACATTTCATTTACGTTATTTATCATTTTTTTGTCCAACGTATTTTCTCTGAAACACAACGGGCTCGAAAAGTTTCATGTAACCCTTTTAACGGAGAGTCCATGTAGAGAAAATATGAACGTTAGAAAGGAGTAAGTCACCATCTACCTCCTCCATGATGAAATCATGAGAAGCTCTCTGCGCCAAGCCTCAGTTTTCCCTCCTTTATAACGAAGGCTGGCCACTAGTAAAATGTGTGTTTTGTTTCTCCCGATTATTTAGGTCCTGGCTAAAGCACGTCCTCTACCTTCAATCAGTAGCTAATAAAGCACACCAAGTTCCTGCACCACTCTGCCTCCTCCTCTTCATTTCAGACTCTTTCATTAGATCACTGCTAAAAACTCTTTTCACTGCACCAGTCGAACGGTAGAAGTTCCCCGAGCCAAATACAAAACAGTCTAGACACGAGCCCTTCTCAATTATCGGTTCTTACATCCTTCATTCTTTTCCTCACTTCCTCCCCTTGCAATAATCCCTCCCCTCTGAGGAGGTGGCAGGCCGAAAAGACGGGGGAGGAAACGGGGAAATGACTAAATGAGACGTGTTTGCTTTGGAGCAGGAATTTTAGATTAAATATTTGTGTGGTTACAGCTTCATCATGTCCATTGTTTCCTTATTGCCTATTACAGCTGTGGTTTATTATCTCAGATGAGGATGTGTTAATAGCAGAGCTCATTTCATTTCACAGTTTGTTTGTGTTTTTTAAATCCTACACACTTCACCTTGGAGCTGAAAGCTTGATCATCAGTCTGTTGATCATATTAAAAACTCAAGATGTATGAATACAAAGCAATAGCTTCTTGGTTTGTATGTTCCAGCTGTGTCACGCGTCTTTCATACATCGAGGGTAAAAACGACTCGAGTCCTGGTCACAGGCAGGAGGACTGAGGAGCTGAGAAAAATGAGTAAAGATCAAAGAAAACTTGGATTTATTTTTATGGGCTGATAAACATTTTTGTAGTTATAAAAAATCCAGCACTATTGGGTGAAAGGCAAAGCACGGCAGTGAACCAATAATCTCCCAACACTGAAAACATTTTAAAAAAATAAATAAAAGTCTGAGGCTGAACAATGATGTGAATCCTGCTGCTGCCAGTCTAATTTTGCTTAATAAGAAGTGAAAACAGAAGTGATTTTCCTCCAACATTTTTATTTAAAATGTGTCATCTTTTTTCCTGCTTTCATTAAACGCTGATTTATTTTTCCAGTATTCTGAAAAAGCTTTCAAAAATATCTTTAATCAGAGAGCGTGTGTTCGAAAACATTTCATGTTAACGAAATAGAAGTAATAAAATTAGTCATTAAAAAAAAAACACTATCCGTACATATGCTAGATTTGTCCTTAATGCTGAATCATTGATCGCAAGGTTTACAGGTAAAACTTAAATAAGGCAGATTTCTGATGAGAAAGTGAGTGAGACGAAGCGTAAACACTTTAAAACACAACAAAGTGGTGACAAATCATTGGACTGAAACACAGCTGAGCTGCAGGCATCCTTTTGGTGACACAAGAAGGTAATAAGTAAAGTTTCCCATGGCCCAGAATGGACTAAATGAAAAATCGTATGCCCGGATCCAGTGAGTCAACCACTGGAATTGGCCGGAACATTTTTCTTCTCAAAAATGTTCACAGAAAACATCTTTCTGTCCTCAGTCAGAGGTCAGAGCAGTTTGAGGGCTTAGAAAGAAACCCAGCAGTCGTGTTATCAGCACGACAAATATCACAGGTTACATTAAGGCTCTTCAGCATCACACGACACTGCTGCAGCTCGCAGCCTGCTGTTCACGTTCGAGTCAGCTGCTCGCTCGCTGCAGAGTGAGCAAACCCGCCCGCTGTTGATACTGACTCTCCTTGGCTTGTGTGATCTTGGCCGACAAATCCAGAGGCTTCTCGAAGAAGTTCACCAGCGCCTGCTCCGTGAGCAGTGAGGCCAGGATCTGAGCGTAGCTCACCGTCCACTCGTTGTCCGCTGTCGCCGAACTCCTGCTGCCTCTGCGGGCGTCGACCCCGCCCGCCGCCGTCGAGCCCTCCTGGCTGTTGGCCTCTGATCCGGCGATTTTACCGCGATGGCCGACCTCGCCGATCTGCAGCACGAGACTGGTGACTGTGGCGATAGCCTGGAAGAGCTCGTTCTCCTCCGGGTGGAACATGCTGTAGAGCGTTTTACAGAACTGGATGAACTCCGACTGCACAAGAAGGAACAAAGAGAGTTAATCAACAAACTTCTGCATGTTTGTCTGATTATTTAACGCAGAATACATATTTTTGTCTTGACTTTTTGTCAGAAATCTGACTTTTTTCATACATCTAAAAAAAAAAAAAAACAACAAAACTCTGAATTTACACAAGAAAGGTGAGAGCATGCGACTCCTATACCTGGTTCATGAGAGGCAGAGGCTTCTCCACATCTTTCTCCTTCTCTGTGGCCAGATCCTGGAGCATCTGCTTCAGCTGATCCTGGTAATCTGTCACTTCACTTTCATCACCTAAAACAACAAGAGAGAGAGTTCTTCAGCCTCACAAGTAAATCCCCCTGATAAGTGCAATAACGTGACGAGGGAGCGTGTTTGCACTGACGAGGGGGCAGATTAACATAGAGAGGTCTGTTTGTGGACAGCAGGGGGCTCTTCACAACCGAGGGGTCATCTTCAGTTTCTGTCAGAGCTGCAGATGCGAACAAACGCAAAAGGAATCAATAAATCGCCGACATGAGAGTAGAGCTCAATAACTCGTCATCGTATTCACATAATGAATAACCTGGAGGGATGTGAAGGCAGTAAAGCAGCCTTATTTTCTCATTCAGCTCCCCAAAGTACAGCGTGTCTGGAAAAAAAAACAGAAAAAACATGAGGAGACAGAGCAAAGTGAAACTTCTTTTTATTTCAGCTTTATGCATTTTCCATTTCCCCGCCTGTCCTCCCTCTACCTACCCAGCCAGCTGGCAAAGTCTCTAAAGGTGACCAGGTTGTCGCAGTCCTGGTCCAGGAGGGTGAAGGTACGGTTGGCCAGCGTGTCGGTGTGCTGGTTGGAGACATCGGGCCACGGCACCAGCAGCCCGTACAGGCTTTTAAACTGAGGTCGGTCCAGCCGATACTGCCGTTCTATAAAGGAGCGATTCGAGTCACAGTAGTGCCACGCTGCTGCCTCTGCCGCCGCCGCCGCGCTGCTGTCCCCCCAGTACAGAGTGATGAAGTGCTCCGTCTGCAGGGAGGAGGAGGACAGAGGAAAACAAAATGATTTAAGGTCTCTTTCGCACATCAATTAGTCTGCCAGCAAGGAAGGAAAATAACCTTGAAGAGATCGTAGATGTCGGCCAAGTTCTCTGCAGGGATGGAAACATCTGGCGACACCAGTCTCAACTGTAAAGGCGCATAAAAAAAAGGGAGCATTGTAAACAGCTGAGAGCTGGGTATGTGTAATACTGTTGTGTCCTTCAAGCTTCTTTTGAGCAGCTTTAAAGATGTTTGAGATTCTGTGTCAGTCTTCTCACCGCATTTTCTTTGGTGGTGTCTTCGTGTGCCTGGAGCACCTGGATTCTGTGCCGACAGCGGAGCTGCTCAATCTGCCGCACTGTCAGGTCTCCGAATTTCTGAGGTCAGAGAGCACAGCATGAAAGATATCTCATGAACTGTGATGACTAAATGAGGATTATGAAGAAGGGCGAAAATGTAGTTGAATAAGCCAGAGGTGAAAAGCTCACTTATCTAACAAAAGGAAGCGAAAGAAAACAAGTAAAGGAGCTGGTGCACAATGTGCACAAACTAATTATTTAAGGCAAATATCAGGCAAAAAATGTGCATCTCTTACGATATAGGAGTCATTGATGAGGTCAGTGATGTTTGTGTGCCTCTTAGCGACACTGCAGCTAGTTTCCTCTGCAGCAGGCGAGGAGGACGGAAAACCGGGGCACTCTACATTTCCAACCTGGTCCAGAAAACTGGGAATCATAGGAAAGCCAACGAGGTGTTAAATTCCACCCGTGCACATACAATTATAAACCATACAATGCAGACAAAAGCACAAAGCATTCATGTCAATCAGTGGCACAATGCTTTGAGTTTTGCTTTACCAGCAAGCTGCAAACCTACCCTGTGAGAATCATAAGCGCCTGCCCGTCATCTGTGCTGGACGAAAGCTCCGCAGCATTGGCCTCCAGCACAGCCAGACCAAGCTGGAAGATGGCTTTGATTCCGTGGAAGAAGAAGCAGTCGACCACGCAGACGGCGCTGTGGAACGGCAGGACGCTCAGGAACAGGGTGAGGAACCAAGACAGGGACACAGAGGAGAGGGTGGAAAGGTCTGGAATCTGTTCAGCCAGCTCTGGCAGACGCTCCCTGATGAGCTCCTCGAACACAGACTGGTCCACCTGAGCGCCTGCAGGAGAGGGCGGTGGAGTCAGACAGTGTTGGGGCAAAGAACGGCCTTGGATGTAAGCCTGTCCAAATTTTTCTCCAAGTTAAATATATTCAAGACGTGTTATGATTCTCATAAGTCTGACCTGTTTGATGCCCATTTTTCCTTAATATATGGCTTTTTCATCATTCTGACCACTAGATGGCAGCATAAACATGCTATTCAGTCTGTGCTATTCTGCAGCTCCACAAAAGATTTTTATAGTAAGGCTTTACTTCTCTTTGCTAAATAGCTGCTGTGTTCTGTAAAGATAAGTAATGTTAATGTGGTTTCCGTGTTTTAACTAGAGGCAGGTTGTTGCCAGAATAAATATATCAATGGTTTACTTTAATTTTTTTTTTTAAGTAATGTTGTGAATCTATGCTTCTACAGAGTCTCAGACCACAATCACTGTTCTTTCAAAAATAAGTGACGCCCACAAACATGTGGACATTAAAAGGAAAAGGAAATTGCTACAAATGCAACACGCAGGGCAAAAATAAACACCTTTGCAAACACAGGAAATAATGCCTATTCTGAAAGCCTGTCTCAGAAACGGTACATGCACCACAGTAACAGCAGCACCACAGTAACCACTTATGTGCTTTTTTTAAAAGCGTGGCTGCAAGCAAATAAAGCTTCTGGGCTCTTTACCTATGACCCTGCGATTGAAGTAGTCGGGCAGCATTCTTTCACACACGGCCACCAGCAGCCAGAAGGCATCTTCCTCTTTAGCATACAGCAGCAGCACCGATGCCAGGATGTTCATAGACTAGTGAGAGAGAAAGCAAAATTCACACATGCATCTTAAAGTCAGGATGAACACTTGAATCACATGAGTGGTTCTAGTATTACACTATAAGTGCCACCATTACAAAAATGACTAATACTGCTGCTTACCTGACAGTATCCGATCTTTGGGTTGCGGTGAGCATACGCAGTGAGGACGCGCCTGAGTGCAGCAATGCCCGTTGGGTTTTGGAAAGCGGGATGGTCTGGCAGTGAGCGGTGCAGGTCCCGTTCGATCTCCTCTGTGGCCAGGTTGTTATGGCCCATTGATTTCTGCACCAAGCTGGCGTAGTAGCCCTCATGGGACCCTAGGTCAGAGGATGCATCTGCACAAACCACACAGGAATTAGAGAACGGAGAATGACCTGCTACCCAGTTTTGTTCCCCAACGATATATATATATGCTATAAGAAAAATCCCAGGTTAAAATTATTCTGCACACCTGTGCCTTTTACCTTCGATTGGTTTCATTTTTAGTTATTCTTTGCGGCACACAGGAACTATGTTTGGATAAAAGGAAGTGAGAATGAGCAGAGGAACAGACCACACACCAAAATAAAATCTGACTGACTGAAAGAGTGCCATTGCCTGAGGAACAACAGATGCAGAGAAGAGGATGTGAAGCCCAGGTTGGGTTTAAACACAGACACACACACACCTGTAATTCCATACTTGTGGGGACCCTTACAGTGATTCATTGCCTGCTGGGGCCAGGACCACAGTGAGACTTAGATTTAATCTCAAAGTGTGTCTTCTTGTTTTGTGTGTGCTGGCCTACCACATCTGTGTTTTTACTCAGCAGATACATCAGTGTATCGCTCATAATTAACCACAGCGTTCTGCAGCGCCATGCAATACCCTCTGGTATGAGCCTAGTTGGGCAGGGGTTCATCCGAAAGCAAGATAATGACCCAAAACATGAGTCCAAGCTAGGCCAGAATTACCTCTGGTAAAAAGTACAAGATGATAAGCTTGAAAACATGGAGCAGACAGCACTTAAACCCCATCGAGCTGGTTTGGGATGAACTGGACACAAGAGGGGAAGCAAAGCAACCTACAAGTGCCGCACATCAATGAGAACATCTGCGACAGATATGAGAGGAACTTTCTGAACAATATTCCTGTTGTAGAAAGAACACCACGGCAGTTATATCTGCCAAAGGTGGCGACTTTGATGAGTCAAAAGTTTAGATTACATTTTGGTCAATAAATTAATTCCATGATTTCTTTTTTAACTCCAATTGCTTTTATTTCAGAGTACAATGACACATTAAACTGCATAATTTTCAATACAAAAATTGAAACATTGGGGTATGTATATGTATACACACCCCAATTTTCACATAGCATGTAGGAAATATGTTCCAGTTTTGCAGATGTGCCACAATTGCGTGCAGGCTAAAACAGCCTAATTAACTTCTGCTAATTTGACGTGTTGATGGGTATCAGAAGAGTGCATGGCCTCCTTGAACCAACACGATGCTTCACTTGTGCAGCACAGACCGTGTGCAGCGGTCTGTTATTAAGATATTTGAAATAGTTCTTATAGTGTTTTCCCTCCTCTAACATTGATGACAGTTTGAAGTCTTTTGTGGTAGTTATGGATGAGGTACTTTATTTTCTCAGATGATAAAGCTGTCCATACAAAATGCAAAATGCCTCTACTTCCTGTTCTCTTTACAGTAGCTCAGTGATATTGATGCTATCTGCGTGGTCCTATGCTATCAAGCCAAAACTTCCAGGGTATGTAAACTTTTGATCAGGGTCTTGTTTCTGTTGTCTTTATGATTTAAAAAGGGAAAACAGAGCTGTGCATAAATGATTTAACCCAACTACTGACCGTGAGTGAAAGTAACGTTTTTGTATTATCATTATTTCTGAAAAATGGACAAAACAAACAAAAAAGCATAACTTCTTCCAGGCTATGTAAACTTATTACCACAACTGTATACACATATATATTTATATACCTGAAAATATCATCCACAGCTCCCCTCGCAGTGACTCTGGTATCCCCATGGCCACAAGCTTTTGGATCTTCTCTGTGCGAAACATGTGGACGCCACGTCCGAACTCAGAGAAATGATCCTCCCACAGCCGCTCCTTCACCTGATTCGTGCTCTGACACAAATACACACATTTCCTGATCCTGACTTACTACATTCAGCTGATGGATATTGTTCTTTTCTAACTCTTAGGGAGAGACGAGCCTTTTAAATCAGATCTGAAGTGACTCTGAATTCATTCGATTGGTTATTTATATATCAAGTTACAGGTTTAGATGAACAGTGTCTCAGACTCCTCCCACCTTGTTGCCGTTGGTTCCTGGTTGATTTTGGTGGAAGGCCGTCATGAGAGCTTCACTGTTGACAGTGTTGCGCAGGACATGCTCCTCTATCTCTTCTTCATCAGAGTACCCAGTGTCATAATAGAAGGTGTAGTAAGGTGTTGGGGAGCTCTGTGGAAAATGTGAGGAACAAAAGAAACGTCAGTAATTACAAACAATATTTCTCTGACTGGATCCCTTTGAAATTAGAGCTGAACAGTGCTTGCAGTACTTCCCTTAGCCGTCATACAGGAAATGTTTCCAGTTCCACATATGGCATTTTAACTTTGATTAGAGAGAACATCATAAAGTGCTTCTAGCAACCGTTTGTCTTTATGATTTTGGTAACAACCCAGTGTACTGAACATTACTGACTAGTTCTTTCTGTTGTGTTGTTGCATTGTTTCATTTTCCATTATCCGTATAAATGGCAGGTCCCACCCAATTAAACATCCCACTCACCACGCTCCTCTTGCCCTCTTTCCTGCTGCGGAACATGGACCGTTTCCACTGCAGCGCTCGAAGTCTGGAGTTCATGTTCTCAACCAGCTCGTCTCTGTCGTTCAGCTCAATCAGCTGGAAGGCCTTTTTAGTCCGAATACTCACTATGACAGGGTTGGGCAGCGCGCTGGTGCTGTCTGCTTTCTCTATGGACAAAACCTGGTGACAAAAATGGCCAAAAGAAGTGGTAACGCATCATAACACACACACAGTTGTTCTTTGTGCAAAAACAGAGCAGGAATGCAGACTGGCTCCTGCTGCTCAAGCTGGAATCGAAAGAAGAGAAACATCTTCAAAAGTGGGAATCCAAGAGGCTGAAATTACTAACACGTACGAAGTATGCAGAATCAGGAGGAGCAGAGGGGTAGGTTAGGTTTGTGAAAGACAATGCTTCAATAGAAAACACAGGATTAGAAAGTATGAATGACTGAACAGATTGAACCACCGGCTAATTCTCATCCCAACCGGTCGCAGCAGATGGCCCCGCCCCTCCCTGAGCCTGGTTCTGCCGGAGGTTTCTTCCTGTTAAAAGGGAGTTTTTCCTTCCCACTGTCGCCAAAGTGCTTGCTCATAGGGGGTCATATGATTGTTGGGTTTTTCTCTGTATCTATGAAGCGCCTTGAGGCGACTTTTGTTGTGATTTGGCGCTATATAAATAAAATTGAATTGAATTGAATTGATACTCTCTTCCTTTCACAATGAACTGCAAAGACTTTATTACAAACTAGGATCTAAAAGACTGAATTCCCCCAAAATGCTTAAAGTTTGTCTTTTTCACCTTCATGTTTTTTTTACAGTTTGCAATCTGGCTGTTAATTTGTGTCAAAGAGACAAGTGCTACTAAAGCCACTTCCTTTACATTCCTGACAGAGCTAACAAAGTGTATACAGTGTGTTTTCATTTCCTTCTGCAGGGCGCCACGTGATCAACCACATGAAATCAGTCCACGTGTTACCGGTTAACCACAGCAGACAGAATAAACAAAGACTCCCTGTGAAAGCTGTCTTATAGGGACAGCAAAGATGAAGCCAGACTTTTCATTAACAAGTGCATTTATGTTCAGGTAGTCACGACTAACTGTCACATGACATGGGACCAAAGGTTTTTGGGCCTTCTGTCACCTCCTGTAGACACCTGCAGTCTTTTAATTAGCCACATGGCTGCATTTACAATGCATTTTAACCTGGATTGCTGTCCATTATGTTTATTGTTTTATGAGACACTTAAAGATTTAACTTGAACTTTTGTACTTTATGAGAGCCATCTGCAGGCCACAGTTATAAATGTCAGAGAGGGAAGTATGTAATAGCTCTAATAATGTGCTAAATGGCAAGTACTGTACCTCTGAGAGGGGTATGAGCAGGATGAGGTTGCCTTCCTCTCGGCTGGAGAAACACAGATAACTGTCGGTGGTGTAGAGAGTCCCGGCTGTGTGGCAGCGGGCGTGTGGTGTCCAAACTGAACAGGAGGCCACCTCATAGAGGTTTTCACTCCGTGGGAGTCGAAACAGAGCCAGAACATATTCCCTAATAGCCTGCTCCTCTAGGATCCTGGGAGGGGGAGATCGTTAGAGAAAGAGTCAGACAATGAGGCAGTTTGAGACAGGTGGGGGAGTGAAAGCAAAAGCAAATGACATTACAAAAACTTCAGTCAGTGAGGAAACGGGTCCAAAAGGACAAAAAATATTTACGTCTCATTCACTTTCACTAAAACTACACACAGGGACATATAAACAGTTCTTAGTCTGGCTGGGAAATCAAATCTTCACATTTCTGGCAAACAGATAAATCTCTACAGAATAAAGCTCTGGTCCTTAAAGCCCTTAAACTTGTATATTAACAGCTTCCAAAATACCAAAACCGTATCAGCTGTTTGAAATGGAGTACAGAAGCTGTGCCAGTGAACGGCAACAGCAACAGTGACGCTCAACACTGAACAAACGCGCTGCGCTCAATGATGCACGACTGTGTCAACGTCACATTAAACGAAGACAAAGAGGAGCTGTAGCACGGCCTTGCTATGTGCGTGATAATCGACTGCAGTGCAAGAATAGAACACTTAAGTGCAGTGCTGCTCGGCAGGGTTTATTGCAGAGCTTTCAATCCCACCCTATAATTTTCCAAGACAAGAGAAGCGCCCTTGTTTCCTCACCGTTTATCCTTTCCCAGTGCAAATGCTCTTCATGTTTTCTATTTAAGCTGCATTTACCAATGACAGACATGACAAATCACATCACTTAAGGCTCTGTAAATAAATATAACAGAACAGTTGAGGCCAGAATTTTAAATATACTCATCATGAATGTGGTTGTAATTTTAATGATTTCTTTGAACTGTTCTTTTTGCAGAGTGTAATGACTGGACAGGCCAGGAAACCCATTCCTGAAGCATCGAAATTAACGTTAGCCCACTGCGTCAGTTCAAAAACCAGTTTTGATGCATGTTAGGTATCACTGTCATACTTCAACACTAAACTGTGTCCAAGTTTCAACCGTCTAGCTGTTGAAGTTAAATAATTGGGAGGAAGTCCTCCTTCTGCATTATTCTATCCACCTTGTGCACAAGGACCACGGGTAGCAACAACAGCCCCAGTGAATGATGCTACCACCACCATGCTCCACATGTGGTGGCACAAACACATTTTCTGTGGCCAAATAGCTCAATCTTTGTCTCATTTGACCACAAAACTTTCCCCAGAATTCATTTGGCTTGTCCATGTGGGCAGCTGCAAGTTTCGGTCAAGCTTGAATAACTTGTCAATAGTGACTTCACCAATGAGAAATGAATAGGCTTCAGCCTTGTGAAGTTAAAAGACATTGTAGAACCTTCAGCGCCACGTACTTTTGACCCTGTGTGGATTAAAGAAAATCCGAAATTCAAATTCGACTGTGCTCTTCCACGTTAAAGATGTTGGTGTGAAGCAGGTCTATCGAACATGTGTCTGTAGGAGAGTCGTCTTACACTTCCACGCTTCAGTGACAAGCACCTCCATCTGGTCGGTAAAACAAACCGACCTCAGAGCTGCGGTGAGAGCGCTTGCGTTGTATTTCAGGGATGTCTGGTCACCCTTTCGCAAAAGCAAGAAATCTATTTTTGCTTTTTAACTCCTTTCGCAGAAACGTAGGCTTTCTTCTTGAAGATGCAAAACAGATTTGAAGTGAGTTTCTGCCTCCAACCTCTAAACTGCCAAGAGACAGGCTGGTTGTGCCCTGAGGAGATCAATTCAATTTTAAACACAGCTCTTTGTCCTCTATTTTGACCCAAATGTTTTTATTTCCCATCTGAAAAAGAAGACCCCTCAGCACGACTAAAATGCAACAGACAATAACTGTTCGTTGTCTGTATATATGCTATAACACAATCCTTTCACTTTACACTACATTTGTTTAAAGCGCGAGCATCATTTTTAACATTCTGCCCTGTTATTTGGATGTTTAGAGGCTTACTTCTCACATCCTGAGACATGTGCATTAGTCATGTGCATTAGGGGCGATCGTGGCTCAAGAGTTGGGAGTTCGTCTTGTAATCGGAAGGTTGCCGGTTCGAGCCCCGGCTTGGACAGTCTCGGCCGTTGTGTCCTTGGGCAAGACACTTCACCCGTTGCCTACTGGTGGTGGTCAGAGGGCCCGGTGGCGCCAGTGTCCGGCAGCCTCGCCTCTGTCAGTGCGCCCCAGGGTGGCTGTGGCTACAATGTAGCTCCATCACCAGTGTGTGAATGTGTGGATGACTGGATATGTAAAGCGCTTTGGAGTCCTTAGGGACTAATAAAGCGCTATATAAATACAGGCCATTTACCATTTTTACCATTCAAATGTGAAACACAGCACAGCGACTGGCGTGCAGATTTATGTGACCTCTCATAATATATATAGAAAGAGTCCAAATAGAATAGAAACTGAATTACTGCAGATGTTTTTATGAGTGGGCTATGAATGAGGAAGAGAGGATCCCAGCAAAGAAGTATGTTAATACTAACGTCCATGGGAAGTCCCATTTCTTTTTCTCTTTGTGAATTTGGCTGCCTTCATCTGCCACTTGTGATTTCAGTCTCATCACCACACGTTCAGTTCCTCTTTTGCTATTCATCATCCTGCCCGTTCTGGACCCTCTGTACTTTCAAGCTCTATTCCTTCCTCCTCTTCTTCTTCAAACACATGCATGGACACACACATATAAAGCAACTACTGTGATGTGGTGTGTTATCCAGTCGGGATAACACACCACATCACTTTTTTTTTTTTAGATAAAGCTTTGAACCTGACTTCCTGTAATGGTTTTGAGGTTTGTTTGGGTTTTGTTTCTTTCTTTCTTTTTTTAGAAAAATAAACAAAGTGTATGCCTGCATTACAAAAAAACACAACAACACAGATACACAAAAGAACACGGCACAACTTCTGTCGCCATGTTTGTTGTTGCTTTGGAAAGCTGCCCCCTGCCATGCACGCACACAAACACACACATGCACACACCCACCACAAAAACCGCTGCACCAGCAGTGCTACAGGAGTGGAGCTGTGTCACACTGTTCCTGTGATACTGAACTTGTGCTGTGAAACGGCAGCTCTGTGAGGCTGAGAACACAATGAAACCTAACGCCTAAGCAGACTTTTCTTTTTAATTCCATTATTTTTACCCTATAAAACCTACTTATTTCTTATTCTTCAGTAATACTGTTAATACTGCAGCATCCCGAGCAGGTGTGTCAGGGAGGCTGTGTTAGCTTAAATTTTCCGCTTGCTCCATCATACTGAGCAGATCTGCGTGGGCTCTGTGATGCTTTGAGCTCAGCAGCCTTCATGCTGGACTAGCAAAGCAGTGAGACTGTGAGTGAAGCGAGTAACCGAGTTCCTGACTCAGTGGGTTAGCACAGGCAGGAATCTACATAGTAATACTGCTGTGTGTAAAAAGGGAAGTAGTGAGTTTCAGGCTGACTCACCAAAGGCTTATGAGAGAAGCATAACTGCAATATTTGAATGACTCGTGCCTGAAAGGATCTACAACAGGGGTGGGCAATTCCAGGCCTCGAGGGCTGGTATCATGCAGATTTTAGATGTGTCCTTGATCCAACACAGCTGATTCAAATGGTTAAATGACCTCTTCAACATGTCCTGAAGTTCTCCAGAGGCTTGGTAACGAACTAATCGTGTAATTCAGGTGTGTTGACCCAGGGTGAGATCTAAAACCTGCAGGACAGCGGCCCTTGAGGCCTGGAGTTGCCCACCCCAATCTACAAGGACCTGACTAAAAAAGCAGTACAGCAACAGTGTTTACCACAGGTATTCAACATGAGTTCTTTGCTAACTTTTTGGGAGGATTAGAGTGAAGTGAGCAAAGGTTTGAACTTCTTTCTGTGGATAACTTTGTTTTATTCCTAATGTTGCTTAATCTCACATTAAGAAACTCACTGTCTGTTTGTATTGTTAGCACACACCTGAACCGGCACTGACCTTTTGGTGATGCGTGCGGGCTGCTGCAGCACTCGGTCCAGCTCTAGGCCTTTGCTGTCCAGCAGCCGCCTCAGGGCAATGTCAGCCAGCTGACCTATGACTCCGAATGCCTCGTCCAGGTTCAAGAACATGGAGAACTCCCTTTGCCGCTGCCGTGTGGTGACCCGAATTGCCTCCGGCATTAAAGCGGTGGAGACCCGCTCCAACCGTGTTACCTCTGCCCAGGGAATCACAAACTTGACTGAAGGGGGAAGGAAGAAGAGAATAAAATCCCACTGAGTGTATGAGCTTAGAGCCACCTCGCACTCACTATAGTTTACACAGCAAGCTTTTCTAATACTGTTAAAAGAGAATGTGAGTTTCTCCAAATGCCAAAGTCTGAGTACCGTTATTACCAATTTGATGAACAAGTGCAGTCTTTTAGATCGAAAATGAGAGCTCTCACTTTGGAGTACAGACCTTCCTTCCCCAGCAGGAAGGAGTAGAAGGCCATGTGGTTGATGCTGAGGTAGAGAAAGCCCTGCCGAGGCACCCGGCCCTTCCAGCAGCAGCAGGAGTAATACGTCACCAGTTTCTCTGACGAGGGGAGGCCAAAGTGAACCTCAAACTTCCGGAGCGCCTCCCTGAACTTCCCCGGGTCATCCTCCTGGGCCACCTGGCGTCCCTGAACCTCCTCGGCGATAAGGCCCTGCAGAAGACAAAAGCTGGAGTCATTACTTCAGCCTACTTTTAAATGGGCTCACAACCACATCGTTTAAAAATCTTTGAGAAAATCACATCTTTCAATCTAAAACTCATCCTCTCTGAGTTTTTATGACTATGCCGGCAATTTACAGACCTTGACTTTTCCTTTGACGAAGCTGGCAACATCCTCCTTGTTCTCAAACACAGACAGAGAGTGAAGCAGGTTGTGGAGCAGCCAGTCCCAGTGCTTGTTCACCTCTTCTATGGCAGCTCCTGATGAAAGCAAAGAATGAGAGAATTTAACATCTCCGGCCGGTCAAATGAGTCAAGGTAAGGCAACAGAGTATGCAGGAATCTCCCAAGGCTGCAGATCACAACAGGCACACAGATGAAAACAAAACAAAAAAAAGGCATAAGGGTTCAGCTCACCACTGGCAATGATCCAGCTGACCTGGGAGCCGGGAACTTGGAGGAGGATGCGAAAGGGAGTGACCCTGGCAGTGGAGTCCAGAACATTGTCAAGCGCCCCCACCAGGAGCCCTGCAGAGATGGCAAAGCACAGACAATCAGTAATCAGTGGGAATTCTGCCGTGTGAAAAGTCATTTCCTGGTGAGTGTTAATATTTTGTTCTTATCTCTGAATTATTTAGCAAAAATACTGCAACCTGCTGCAGCCATAATGAACCCCAAAGTAGCCATCAGTGGACATAAGAAATAGCGAAAGAGCTCAAATACTGTCTGCAGCCTTTTAAACTCTCACAGCAGTGAAGCAGCAGGTGATGGACACATACACGCTGAGAAGATCTAACACATCTATTGCTTAAATAATCACTGAATATCACATAAACCTCAACTACAACAACCAGAAAAACACAATCTCACAAGTGTACTAATGCCACTCTTCAGTCTCCCTGTCAGCGGAGTGAGACGGGGTTGAAGAGCTCTCGAACAGACAGCAATATTTCACTTCTGCATGACAGAAGGAGAAACTGGAAACATCCAGAGAGGCTGTTTCCAACACCAAGAGGACAAGACTGGTGAGTTTTATACATCTCTGGTCTTTATCTCAGATTACACTCACTGCATATGGCAGGGACTTTTCAGTGTCCAATTTCAGGATACACAATAAGCCTAACTGACGGTTTTCCATCGCATGATTTCACTCCATCCACTTTCCTTTAATTTATATTTTTGTTTTATTTTAGAATTACAAAGGGTTTTATTTTTTTATTTCTTGATAATCATTAACATTGGTAATATTAATGATGAAAATGTAGCATTTTCATCTTTTTTGGCCAACTTCTGTCAGTTCAGTATTAGCACCAGAGCAATTAATGCCTTTTCCCATGGAGTCTTTCAAAAGCCATCAAATGACCTATATGTTTGCACAGCCTTTTAGTAATGTGCCTGCACTTGCTCTGCTTGTACAGCATGGTGTAGAAGTCTTGAGCCACCCCTCTTTCTTAAAAATGTTCTTCTTGAGCAATAGTTCTCAAAGCTTTCTAAAGGTCTTTTAAAGTTTTTCTTTGGATATTTGCTGCTTTTAACTTATTTTCAGTCCAGTCATTCTGCCTGACCCTTTTCAGGAGGGAAGTTGTTTTGTTTTGGGTTTTTTTTTGCTTGTTTCTTAATCCGTTTAATGCTGACCTTATGGATTAATCATTCAAATGCAAAAAGGGCATTTAACACAAAGGATGAACAAATGTTGTGTATACACGTGACAAACAACTTGGCAAAGAACCAACTTAAAGTTTGAAAGCATCAATCTGGAAAAAAACTGACTGCCAAGAGCTTCATTATCAGCATGACGATGATCCCGAACACACTGACAGTGCAGTGTGCAGAAAAACACACAATGGGCCTCCCCACAGTCTGGACCTCAACATTATTGAAGCAGAGAACTGAACAAAAGGCAGCCAACGTCTAAAGAAGAGCTTTGAAGACTACTTAAAGAAAATTCAAGAAAGTCTATCGAAGAGTTGCATGTGTACAAACTCTGTTTTTACCTTATATACTGTGTTCCCATGTGTTTCAATGATCACTCCACCCATTTCTCATTTTTCTAGAAAAATATGAAGAAATGAGGGACGGTTTAAAACATTTGCACATTACTGCATGCACTGCATATTTTTAAATTCTGGTACTGCTTTTAACTCCAATATTTTGTTGATTTTAATTCCGCTAGTATGCTTTAGATGAGTTATCATAAAGCCTATCATGTCTGCTGTCTATGAGAAGCACTACACGTGTTTGCCTATTATAAAATATGGCTCAGATGATGAGGAAACCGTAGTTGGTTCCAATGGAAACTTTTCAGGCAGCATGCAGATTAGCTTCCCTCAAAGGCATAATCACAATAAAGAGACAAATAGAGCAGCAAAAACTACCACTTAAGACACATCCAGCACAGCAGAGAGGTCGAAGCCAACCTTATTACGGTTTTGATGAGTCTCATTTAAAAACAGAGGGACTTCGAATGTAATCAGGCATGTAATATCCACCCATCTCTTCAGCAGACGACTGAAACAGTTGCTCAGTTCAGTTTTAATACCAAAATCCGGCAGGAAATCTGCATCTCCACAGTTGCAATCAACTCCACAGATGTTCTTGAAGCTAAAATTGAGCCCCGAACCCTCATAAATTTGAATGACTCCGTGCATTGCAGTCGTCAGGCAAATAGAAACAGACCAGGCACACATGGTTCCACGTCCTGCCTGAAGCTTTCATCGGGTCTCAATAGGGCTACTGTCATCAGGTTTTCATCTTCCTGAACCATAGCTAATCTGCATCATGCTCTCCAAATAACTACACTCTTGGTGCCACTTTTATTCTGTATTTCCTCTGTGCAAAAAGCACACACTGAGGCAGACAATATTCTGACTTGAAATCAAGAAGTCCATCAAACTTTGAAAGAGTAGAAAACAATAAAATCATTATGATAAATAAGAAAGTGATAGCTTAATCGCCATTATAAACATAGCAAATGACCTACGAGAACTCCAGAGGTCTTAGAGAGTAGCTACACACATTCTTCAATTTGAAAATAGATAATGACAATGCAATAAAAATAAAGACTCACAGAACCTGGTTTGTATGAAAAACTGGGTTATAAGTTTGAATTGCTTCATGAGCAGTACCACACCCATCATAAGAGTTTGAAACATAATAAAAAAAATAGGTTCCTTAAGGTTTCACATTTTCAACAACCCACACTGATGGCTATCAAACCCATTTAGAATACTATAACCAAAATAACACGTATGGAAATCGCACAAAACCTCTGGATACAGGGACTAATGCAAAGTATTGATCGTGATAAGATACGCACAGAGCTGTGTAGCCACATCCTCTCTGCAGGCCTGCAGGCGCACTTAACCATAGTCAACTAAGGACAGTCGACATTAAAAATGACACTTTCAGCAACTAGGACCAAATGGATGCATTTCATTTGTAATAGGTCAACACAGCCATCAAATCCAATATGTCTGGCTCATAGTACCCCAAAGCCCCTTAGTCTAACTTTTCTCTAATACTTTTAAAAGGTTTATTAGAAGACAAAGTTTGGGACTTTTCCCCTTAAGGTACTTTCACGTTTTACAACCCAGCTTTGCTTTAATCTATTAAAGAATTTTTATCTTTCAAAGACGCCATTATCAGTGAGATCAGCCCACCCGAGCTGAGCACAGCCCTGCTTTTCAAAGCTATGACTGAAAAAGATGAGGGCAACCAGATCTCTATCTCTGTGTTTAGCAGTGTCTTCTCTGGTTTGGTACACACACGCAGACACAAAAACAAATCTGCATGAACAGAAAAGGAACTCGCATGCTTGCTTATAAGAGGTTCAGTATAGTTCAACAACTTCAGGCTTGTCAGCCTGTAAAACCTGCCATGAGGCCTCATGACTGTGCCAAAGAGAGTCATAAATCCACAAAGTATTTCAATGGACATGAGAAACATTCAGAAACGATGTTGTTTTTATGTTAATTGATTAATAATAATCAAATTCAGGCCGCACATCAGCTCATGAGCCCTTTAGAGCCCATATTGGTGAAACGCTCAGCAGATGAGGGGGTAGAAATATAAAGATAAGTCTTTTCCAGCAGACAGCTCTGACGATCAGCCAAATGTAAACCACATCTTAGCTTCAAACTTGACCTGCCTGAAGCTGCAAATCCGGCAGCCTGGCAACACAAAACTATCCATCTGTCACCACAAACCCAGGCGGGGTTTACACTGGTGAAGCTTCCAGAAAATAAAACGGAGCCACGGTGAATCATTGCCTCTCTCTGCTAACGGTCACATTGTAGGGGAATACTGCTGTGGAGACATGATGACTGCAGGCGACCTTTAGGAGGCTCGCAGCAAAGCAAAACAGACGTCTGCTTTCACATCCACGACGCCGTGATCTCTGTCTGCTCTTGAATGCATCAAAATTAATAAACGGGACATCATTTTCTTGTGCTCAGGCTGGAGTGGTGAACTGAGGCTCGCTGATCGGATGAGGAAACACTAAAAACAACACGAGAGAGGCATTAGTTTGAAATAGAAACATGTGAACGGGCTGATCAGCTGCAGATGTTACCCAGCCCTTCTCAGAAATCCAGCTGGAAGAGTGTAGTCACCGGTGATAAGAGCAGAAGAGTGCGTTTGTACAGCTGAGTTCTGAGACCACATGCACAACTCGCCTTTCTATTTAATTAATAGGTGGAAACATGAAGCAAATCCAATCTGAGCCACTAAACAGACTCTGCCGCGTGGCTTTTTTTCTACAGTTCCTGAATTAGTTAATGGTAAACGACGTGAGAGCAGGACTTGACCCTTTGACCCTCTGTCTTCTCTCTATGGGAACAGCAGGAACAAACACAAAGTAAACTCCAGCCAGGAAGTCCCACTTATTCCGTTTTATGAGAAGAGCTCCACAAGCAAGAAGACAGATCGTAAAAAGGAGACAGTGGATGAGGCACATGCTCGCTTTAATGTAATTAACATCAACTAATGTAAAAAAAAAAAAGCGTCCAGTGCGCCTGCAAAGCCTGTTACACAGACGCAATACACACACAGAGGAAACCAGACAGAGGAGGCAGAAAACAGGCCAAGCTGCAGCCGCTGCAACAAGTGTGGGGTCAGAAATTTATAGAAAAATCACTAAAGAATAGAAAGGACAGCAGTGTCACAGCAGCACGATGCCACCTCTGTAACAGCTAACACAATAGGACCCTACAGCATAACAAAGCCTGTTTCCTACAGGAAATTACAGTGATAGGTCAGAGTTCAAATTCAGCTGGCTTTTGTTTGGGGAATTTTTCATAACAGGTTAGAACACAAGTCCAATAAAAAAAGAAATTTTAAAAACAGCCAACAATGCTCTTGTGATGTTTATGGTTATTGTCACCACAAGAATTCAAAGAATACTGCGCCAGGAATAGCAGGAAATGGGTTATCCAACTGTGATCTGTACAATACTGACAAACACTGAAACAAACGTGTGTTTTATGTTTTATAGCAAAGACATTTAGAAAATGCTCGGATAAAAAAAATAAATCACGTAAGAAAGAATCATACATCAGAATCAGTTTGTTTGTTTGCCCCAGTTTCTTTTCTGTCCTTTCACTGTTTGACAGGTTAAGTCTGATTCACAAGTTCGTGCACAAGACTCTCACAGATCGCAGTTCGTGCGATTTGTGAGAGTCTTGTGAGGCATTTGTCTTTGTCCGAATGTAACACAAGTGCTCTGTTTTAAATGGATGCGTTTGTGGTCTGGTGGTAAACATGAGATAACCGCACGTTTCGTGGGTGTAGTTTAACGTCCCCTTCAGAGGATGCAGAGTTTGAGCAGGTGTGAGTTACAGGTATGCGGCTCGGGGGCATTCCTGATTGCTCGTGGCTGCTATAATCCAGGCATGTGCTGAACTTTGATTTAACAGATCTACGTGTACACTGATCTTTCTTTGTAGAGAACCGTCCTGAACACACCCCTTCTTTGGACACCCAGTTGTTTACCTGTGACCCCGCCTGTTGCCATTCTTTGTCCATGCTTGTACCTGTTTTATCTGCCACACACCCGTGCTTTTACCTGTCCCTCTCCCTGTGTGTGTGCCTGTGCTGGCAGCATGGCCTCCCCTTTGTTTGGTGTTGTTGCTCCAGTAGCTGACTGTTTTATTGTTTACCTGTGATCCTGCTGTTGGACTCGCCGTGGCCTCTCCTCCTCTGCAGCAGGAAGAAGTCGTTGCTCCTCTCGGTCACCCAGAGTTTCAGCACATTTTTGAGCAGAACTTCATCGGGGTTTAGCCACATTTCTTCTAACAGGGAGGGACCGGAGTGAGCCCTCTGCCGACTCGGTCTCTGCAACAGAGGGGAAGTATAAACTTTATCTGCCTGTTTTTCGGCTCGGGGGTGGCCCGATCGCTCCTACAGCGGCGGGTTTTCGGCTTTATCCATGGCCATCCTGCGCTCCTGACAGCTGCAGGTTTCGGACTTCCTCGCCCCGCGTCTGCTCCCACACACCAGACACACAGCAGCTGTACACACGACTCACAGATCGCCTATAAGAGACGATGACTCACTCGGTGGCTGAATCGACTTCCCGTAGCTTTACATACAGAGCGGAGCGGTTACGATTGAAAATGAAACAACATAAAAATATAACTCATGGACCACAGTGGTCTTTTTAGAGCAGGGGTGTCAAACAGAAGGCCCGTGGGCCAGAATGGGCCCGGGACAGACCCTAATCCGGCCCATTGGATGGCTTTGGAAGAAAGAAGGAGAGCATAGATATTTTTACTTTTAATTGTATTTTCACAGATTTTACAGCTTTTCCTACTCATAAAGACCCTCTCATGGTCATTCACACTACACAAGGTAAATAATTCATAGAAAAACATGACACAGAATGTCCAGCTTTTTTTCTACTATAGACATTTCTGTAGTTTTCTGTTTGTTTTTTTGAAAAAAACAAAAACAAAGTTTAAAAAAGTAACAATAATAATAATTTCTGTGAATTAACAGAAACTTTTTTAGAAACTGTTTTATATTTACAGGAATTAGTTACCAGAACCTTTGGTGTAATTTTACACATTTATTTATTACAATTTAAGCCGAAAGAGCCAAACTGACAGATTTCTTTCATTTAGCTTCAAGAGCAGCATTTTTTTTTATCATGTAGAAAAACTGAGATGTACTGTTGAAACTGCACTACTTTTTAAAATTTTTCACTTCAGCTCAAACTGAGCTGTATGTGTGCCATGATGTAAAATGAGTGTGACATCCCTGCTTTAGAGTATTTGTTAATGTGCAGCTGTCGATGTGACGTTTGTGGAATAATTTTGAACTTAGCCACTATAGCCACAGCCAAAATGTTGCTTTAAAAAAAAGAAAAACCATTATTATGCAGAATATTCTCAGTCACATGTTTTCCTCTTCAAACTCACACGATCCAGTCAAAGAAACAATAAAAACAGTTTAACAGAATTAAACTCACCTCCCACCTTTATTTAGCCAGCTGTGCCATGTAACTTCAATATTTAATATAAAATAATGTCAAATTTCAACATTCAACAATTTCAACAGGAAAAACTTACTGTAATTTAAAAATAATAAATTAACCCGCTACAGTAGATTCTTATGAAAACAGTCTGCTTTGGATTTGATCTTTGGCTCTCCTGCAACTCTTTTAACCACATCTGCCAATTGTTGCATAAGTTTCCACATGAGAGAGGAAACTTAGATTTACTGAGATCAGCCGCAGCAGATTTTGAGCTAAAGAGCTAATAAATAAGTGAAAATGACTGTAACGTGTTCTGCAGAGTCTAACTTGTGAATGGTGGTCAGGTAAAAGCTGGAAAGTAGTTGTGGTTTGTTAGTAACTTACACAGCTATAACACTTGTACTTTGATTAATAAGTTTTAAAAAAAAGCGCACAGTTTGTGAAAAACGGGGTCAGAGTGAGAGCTCTTCACTTTATTTTGTCCTGTTCCGCATTTCACCAACTTTCCCTTCCGCCAGTTCCGGTAGTGAGCCAGTGACCGTTCTGTGATTGGACCTTCGCGTGAAACAGCCCTCAGGTCTGTAAAAAAAGAGTTTCTGTGAAAAGTGACACACTGAAAGACTGTCAGTGGAGTGGAAAACAGCTTTTTATGTTATAGGACTTCTAATGTATCCTGTATCCTGTATAGGACCTGGATGATAAACACTGGAAATGTGTAATAAGGAACACATAGAGAGATAATATAGGATATATTATCCCGACAGATCCACCGGCAGGTGCACTTCACACCTGCTTCCATTAAAACCCACGCTCTCTGACACTCCCACAGTGTGGGTTGAAACTGAACCACGCAAAGTTTCACTCCTGTTCTGTGTCACTGCAGACTGCGATTGCGCTTTGTACTTGTTTTATCAAACAATCTGCTGGATCCTTGGCTTAAGGTTAACTGTAGGTTGCCCGGGATGAACAAAACCTGTTGCAGCGGTGGGCGTTTGAATGAACAGTTTCACAACAGATCTAAATAACTCTAAACCTCTAAAATTAACAGAGTATATGACATAAAAATAACTCTTTTGTGGGCAGAATGTGCTTGAAGCGAACCACCCCCACAGCACAAACGACCTTTATGATAACTCGATTAAACACAGATTTTTTTAAGGGGCCAATAAACCAACCCATTCATTTGAAAATAAAACTTCGGCTCCTTTATTCACAAGGGGTCGCTCGACATGTTTTGACTGGGGACTCTCTTTTTTTGTCCTTATACCGGAAGCCCTTCCTGAGGTAAGCCCAAAGGGGTTTCCTGTGATCAAACCTGGGGCCTTTTTTTTTCTAAGGCACATCTGTTAAACACCACACCTTCAATTTTTGGATATTTTAATGGTGCAACTTGACAGGCAATGTTGACATTAATGAAGCTCCCAAAATAAAATTATAAATAAAATGATAGCCTATAGGGTGAATCTGGGGCTTTGAGTAGTTCGCTTTCCGCCCTCCTTTAACAGTGACAGACCAGCAAAAAGAATATATCTATATTCATATATAGTCACATGTGATTATTTTTGAGCTCGGATGGATGGCAGTGGTGTAAAGCTGAGGAAGAAGGGGAAGAAGAAAAAGAGGAAGTTAAGTAAACAAAATGACCGCGGTCAAGCGGAAGGATCTCACTGTGTTACCAGTTTCATGCAAACATCTATGAAAATCTGTGAATAAAAAAATATGTACACCAGTACTTACTGTTATTGTGTGCATAACGTGGCACCTATCCGTATATGAATCGCTAATAACCTATTCACTAATTTTTTAGTAATGTGCTACAGGTCTACCTAAAAAATCAGTCAGACAACTACAGCTCATTCAGAACTCTGCTGCTCGAGTCCTCACTAAGACCAAAAAAGTGGACCACATCAGTCCAGCTCTGAGGTCCTTACACTGGCTGCCTGTCCGTCAGAGGATAGACTTTAAAGTTCTGATGCTGGTCTATAAAGCTCTGAATGGTTTAGGACCAAAATACATCAGTGACCCCCTGACCCAGTATGAACCTTCCAGATCCCTCAGGTCATCTGGATCCGGTCTTTTATCAGTTCCCTGAGTCAGAACCAGACACAGAGAAGCTGCATTCAGCTTTTATGCTCCTTATATCTGGAACAAACTCCCAGAAAGCCTCAGATCAGCTGAAACACTCAGTTTATTTAAATCCAGGTTGAAGACTCACCTATTCTCAGCTGCATTTGAATAAAGCACCAAATCCACACTTTTAAGCTTAAATTTCAAAACTTACATTTAACTACTGATTTTATCTGTTTTGATTTTATCTGTTTTGATTTTATATACTGTTGTTTGTTTGTTAATTAGTTTGTTTGTTTGCTTGTTTTAATCAATTTTAAATCATGCTTTTTATTTGTTTTTGTTTCTAATGTCTCTGTAAAGCACTTTGAATCACCTTGTTGTTGAATTGTGCTATACAAATAAACTTGCCCTGCCTTGCCTACACTTGAGAGGCTTTGCGTTGTGTGCCCTTTTTACATCCCACAGTAAATATTGTACTCTTTGTGTGTGTGTGTGTGTGTGTGTGTGTGTGTGTGTGTGTGTGTGTGTGTGTGTGCGGCACCTGTTTGGATTCGCTCTCAGCAGCCACAAATGGAATGCTCCGCTCTCATTCCTTATATGGGCATATTGCGCCTCAACAGGAACTTGGTGTCTCTGTTATTATTGTCCTCCCCGTGAAGCGTTTTTTTCCCAGTCCTTCTAAAATCAGGAATTTTTGTTTTTATACCACAGTAAAAAAAATTAGTTCAGTAAATGTTTGAGACATTATATAGATAGTTACAGGGGGCTATTTTAATGCTGGGTATTTTTTGTGCGCATGTGAAACAGTCACAGGTTTTTGTTTCCTGTCGGAATCGATTTGGCTGCGCTCCTTCTATTTCCGCGTCTGGGAGGGGAACAGTGGTGTGATTTCAGAGAACTCTTATCAGTCAAAATGCAGGTTGGTAAACCTTCTTTAGTTTGTTAAAAGTCACAGCGTACCGGCTGTGAATGAGAATACTTAATGTCATTTAAAGCCGTGTAACGTGACGACTTAATTTTCTAGATATTTAGCCAGCAGTGTCTCTGAGCACTCAATAGCTTTACACTTAGCTAGCAAGCTAGCCCTGTAACACTTCAAACCAGTTAAAAGGTCTCGGAATAGTCTTGGACCAGAGTTGAGACGATTACTGTCAAACTAAAAATAAACGTTGGCACACGAAGACTTTTATATGGTAGCAGATTTGCTAAAATATTTTGTGGAAACGATAAAAGAAAATGTAAAAACTTTTAACCACTGATAAATCCAGTGACCTGTAGTCTTTTAAAAATGTTTATAGTTTATTTGAGTTTAATAAGTGTTTATTAAAAGGGTAAATAACAAATAATGTTTTGATGTTAACTTTATAACGACCTGGAGCCTATACTACGAAGCGAGTTCAACATACCCAGGGCTGTGTTTCCGTTATCTGGATTCACTTATTCTAACATTGGCTATAAAGATAAGCAGTCACCCAAAGCTGGGTATCAGCTTGCTAAGTCACATCAAAGGGGATCTATTGACCAATCTAGTAGGGACGTTTCACGGATCATGAGGCTTTTCTTTCGCAGAAAATGATCCCAATGAGTGCCCATAAAATATGATCTGCAAACAAATCCACTCAGTTTGTGATCAAATAGGAGTATAGCAGAGCTCTTATACATTCACTTTAAGCAACTATAAAACACATCCAGACCCATAGAGTGCACATGCCTTATCTTAGTCCATAGCACTATCTAGGGCTGCTCGATTATGGCAAAAATGATAATCACGATTATTTTCACTGAAATTGAGATCGCGATTATTTGACGATATTTATTTAACCCTTTAAGACCTACTATAGAACCAAGTCCGCCAGAGCTTATATTATTTTTTTTTTACATGTTGTAGTGCCATTTGTGGGAGCATTTCAAGTTGCTAAATAACTGTTATAGCCCATATTTTAATAATATGTATGCATTAAGTCCATAGT